CTTTACATTTTGGCATGTTTTTGCAATGGCTGGTACCGGTTGTTCCTTTCCATGTTTAGTGCTTCCTTCAGGGTCTCTTGTAAGGCAGGCCTAGTGGTGACAAAATCTCTAAGCATTTGCTTATCTGTAAAGGATTTTATTTCTCCTTCACTTATGAAACTTAGTTTGGCTGGATATGAGATTCTGGGTTTAAAATTCTTTTCTTTAAGAATGTTGAATATTGGCCCCCACTCTCTTCTGGCTTGGAGAGTTTCTGCCGAGAGATCTGCTGTTAGTCTGATGGGCCTCCCTTTGTGGGTAACCCGACCTTTCTCTCTGGCTGCCCTTAAGATTTTTTCCTTCATTTCAACTTTGGTGAATCTGGCAATTATGTGTCTTGGAGTTGCTCTTCTCGAGGAGTATCTTTGTGGCGTTCTCTGTATTTCCTGGATTTGAATGTTGGCCTGCCCTACTAGGTTGGGGAAGTTCTCCTGGATGATATCCTGAAGAGTGTTTTCCAACTTGGTTCCATTTTCCCCCTCACTTTCAGGCACCCCAATCAGACGTAGATTTGGTCTTTTTACATAATCCCATACTTCTTGCAGGCTTTGTTCATTTCTTTTTCTTCTTTGTTCTTTTGGTTTCTCTTTTCGCTTCATTTCATTCATTTGATCCTCATTCGCAGATACTCTTTCTTCCAGTTGATCGAGTCGGTTACTGAAGCTTGTGCATTTGTCACGTATTTCTCGTGTCATGGTTTTCATCTCTTTCATTTCGTTTATGACCTTCTCTGCATTAATTACTCTAGCCATCAATTCTTCCACTTTTTTTTAGCTCTGAGAAATTTGATGGACTGAAGCCTTCTTCTCTCATCTCGTCAAAGTCATTCTCTGTCCAGCTTTGATCCGTTGCTGGCGATGAGCTGCGCTCCTTTGCCGGGGGAGATGCGCTCTTATTTTTTTAATTTCCAGCTTTTCTGCCCTGCTTTTTCCCCATCTTTGTGGTTTTATCTGCCTCTGGTCTTGATGATGGTGATGTACTGATGGGGTTTTGGTGTAGGTGTCCTTCCTGTTTGATAGTTTTCCTTCTAACAGTCAGGACCCTCAGCTGTAGGTCTGTTGGAGATTGCTTGAGGTCCACTCCAGAGCCTGTTTGCCTGGGTATCAGCAGCTGAGGCTGCAGAAGATAGAATATTTCTGAACAGTGAGTGTACCTGTCTGATTCTTGCTTTGGAAGCTTCCTCTCAGGGGTGTACTCCACCCTGTGAGGTGTGGGGTGTCAGACTGCCCCTAGTGGGGGATGTCTCCCAGTTAGGCTACTCAGGGGTCAGGGACCCACTTGAGCAGGGAGTCTGTCCCTTCTCAGATCTCAACCTCCGTGTTGGGAGATCCACTGCTCTCTTCAAAGCTGTCAGACAGAGTCGTTTGCATCTGCAGAGGTTTCGGCTGTGTTTGTTATTGCCCTGTCCCCAGAGGTGGAGTCTACAGAGACAGGCAGGTTTCCTTGAGCTGCTGTGAGCTCCACCCACTTCGAGCTTCCCAGCAGCTTTGTTTACCTACTTAAGCCTCAGCAATGGTGGGCGCCCCTCCCCCAGCCTTGCTGCTGCCTTGCTGGTAGATCACAGACTGCTGTGCTAGCAATGAGGGAGGCTCCGTGGGTGTGGGACCCTCCCGGCCAGGTGTGGGATATGATCTCCTGGTGTGCCTGTTTGCTTAAAGCGCAGTATTGGGGTGGGAGTTACCCTATTTTCCAGGTGTTGTATGTCTCAGTTCCCCTGGCTAGGAAAAGGGATTCCCTTCCCCCTTGCGCTTCCCAGGTGAGGCAATGCCTCGCCCTGCTTCAGCTCTCGCTGGTGGGGCTGCAGCAGCTGACCAGCACCGATCGTCCGGCACTCCCCAGTGAGATGAACCCAGTACCTCAGTTGAAAATGCAGAAATCACCTGTCTTCTGTGTCGCTTGCGCTGGGAGTTGGAGACTGGAGCTGTTCCTATTCGGCCATCTTGCTCCGCCCCCCCCGTAGAGTTTTTTTTTAATTTATTTTTTATTATTATTATACTTTAAGTTCTAGGGTACATGTGCATACGTGCAGGTTTGTTACATATGTATACTTGTGCCATGTTGGTGTGCTGCACCCATCAACTCGTCAGCACCCATCAACTCGTCATTTACATCAGATACAACTCCCAATGCAATCCCTCTCCCCTCTCCCCTCCCCATGATAGGCCCCTGTGTGTGATGTTCCCCTTCCCGAGTCCAAGTGATCTCATTGTTCAGTTCCCACCTATGAGTGAGAACATGCGGTGTTTGGTTTTCTGTTCTTGTGATAGTTTGCTAAGAATGATGGTTTCCAGCTGCATCCATGTCCCTACAAAGGACACAAACTCATCCTTTTTGATGGCTGCATAGTATTCCATGGTGTATATGTGCCACATTTTCTTAATCCAATCTGTCACTGATGGACATTTGGGTTGATTCCAAGTCTTTGCTATTGTGAATAGTGCCGCAATAAACATACGTGTGCATGTGTCTTTATAGCAGCATGATTTATAATCCTTTGGGTATATACCCAGTAATGGGATGGCTTGGTCATATGGTACTTCTAGTTCTAGATCCTTGAGGAATCGCCATACTGTTTTCCATAATGGTTGAACTAGTTTTTAAGTATACTGTTGATATGGTTGATATTTCTGGTGTCCAACAAAAAAATCTCCCAAGATCCCACCTAACTTTTTGTAATTAAAGCAACCAACATAGCCAGGGTCTGGAAAATTGTCTAGACTGCTAAATACACATTCCAATATTTTTCTAGAGTTGTCAAAACCTAAGGGTAAAGTGTGAGGAAAAGTGTTGTCTTTTTTATCTGCTTCTTGTGGAGAGTGGAGATCTGTGTTGTGTCTGTCTCTCACACAAACATAAACACACACACACAAATAAGTATAGTAATTCACCCTTATCCATGTGAGGTATTTTCTAAGACACCCGGTGAATGTCTGAAACTGTGGATAGTATGAAACCCTATATATACATGTTTTTTTAATATATGCGTATTTATGATAGTTTAATTTATAAATTTGGCACAGTAAGATATTAACAATAACTCATGATAAAATAAAACAATAACAATACATTGTAATCAAAGTTAGGTGAAAATGGTCTCTCAAAATGTCTTATCTTGTACTCACCCTTCTTTTTCGTGTGATGACTGTGAGATGACATAATGCCTATATGATGAGATGAAGTCAGGTGAATGAGGTATGAGTTGTCATGTGGTGTTAGATTATTATTAATTTCTGGCTATCTGACGACATATCAGAAGGTAGATCATCTGCTTCATTTGACGGTGGATCATTGAGCCATGATAATGTTGATGGTTGGGATTCAGGAACAGACCATTTTGATGACTAATGGGCAAATAGCATACACAAAGGAATGGTTCATGACCTGGGTGAGATGAAACAGGATGTCTTAATATTTCATCATACTCCTAGAATGACACATTATTTAGAACTTATGACTTGCATATTTCTGGAATTCCCCGTTTAATATTTTTGGACTATGGTTGACCATGAGTAACTGAAATCACAGAAATCAAAACCATGTCTATTATATTGTGAAACATATGTTTGGTCTTCAACATTGTTTTCTGGCATACAACTCATAAAATGTTTAGAATCTCCAAAGATGTCTTTGTATGCTAACAATTGAGTGATGGCTGGCAGTCTCTAGGTAGCTTCAGGATAGGAGATGGTCACAAGAAAGAACAAGACATGATGTGTTAGGACTTTCAGCCCCACCCCTCAACCTCCTAGGAGGTGAAGGTTAGGTCAATTACCAATGGCCACAGATTTTTTTTCATTCATGCCTATATAATAAAGCTTTCTTTAGAATCCAGAATGACTGGGAACAGAGACCTTCCAGATAGCTGAACATATGGAAATGTTTGGAGACTGATGTGCCCTGGGAGGGCATGGAAGCTCCATTCCCCTTTCCTACAACTTGCTCTATGCATCTCTTCATGTGTCTCCTTTGTGATACCCTTTATAATAAACTGGTAAATGTGTTTCCCTTAGTCTTTGGGAAACTCTAGCATGTCAAACCCAAAGAGGGAGTTGTGAGAACCCCACCTTGAAACCAGATGGTTAGATGCTTCAGAAACCCAGATTTGCAACTGATGTGGGAGGGTAGTCTTGTGAGACTGAGTCCTCAGCCTGTGGGATCTGACACTATTTCTAGATAGTGTTGGAATTAAATAGAGGACAACTTGCTGGTTTCTGTTACAGAATTGGTTGGTTATTTGTTGGTGGAGAAAAGCCTCCACAAATTTGGTCACAGAAGTCTTCTGTTTTGATGATTGTGGTGTGAGAGCAGAGGTAAATCATGTTGTGTGTGTTTCTACACATAGAGCAGATAAAGAGAGACTACTGTGTACTCTTTTCTAACTGCTCCTAGTTCATTTTTCTAGAAATTACACTTTCTGAGGTTGACACTGTCCACTTATACTAATTCTGCTAATAATACAATTTTCTGGGAGTCTTGTAGGATTCTATTTGGATTATATTTATTGTACACTGTAGTTCATTTGTAGAGATCAAATTGTGATAAATTCTATTTTTCCTTGCATTTGAGAACTACAAAGGAGGGGAAAAAGCATTCTTAATGCATTAATTTCCTAAAAATAGTATACTTAATAATTTACCATAGCTCAATGTATGGTTTCAAAGGAATCCTTTATATCAGATCATCTGACTCTTTGTAACACAGTGTTGGAGTATTATGCTTTTTTAAACAAGATCTAGATCATGCACAAAAATGTGCACGATTCTTTTAAGCTAAGTTGAAGTCTCGCAATGTCTCCCAGGCTGCTTTCAGACTCCTGGACTCCTCAGGTGATCCTCGTGCTTCACCTTCCCAAGTAGCTGGGATTAAAGGCATGTGCCATCATGCCCTCTTAGATTTTTAATATTCTGTGTTTTCTATTTATATTTGTTGATTTAATGTATTTTACTTTTTTTCTTTAATAGTGGGTATGAGTTCTGTAGAGCCTAAAATCAGGTAAGACTTTGCAGTTTTTTTAAAACGTTTATGCTAACTCAGAAAATATAGAGAAAAAAAATCACTATCTCCTGAGTATTCTACTCTGGGCTAGACAACATATTATGTGCTTAATATTTATTATCTCACATAGTCATCACACAGCTTTGCAAAGCATCTGTGCTACTATCACCTACTTTGTATTAATCAGGCAAATGCGGTTCAGAAAGGTTGATTAATTCACCTATGATTTCATAGCTAAAAAGTAGCTGACCCTTGAGTTTGAACATCTGTCTATCTTGCTCCCAAATCCCTTCTCTTCCCTCTTGGCGTAGATTGATGGAGACCTCTGCATCATTAGGATCAAGGTACAGGTCCAGATGGGATCAATTCACAAAGTTACCTTTTGTTACATATTAACTCTTTTTTTTTGAGATGGAGTCTCACTCTATAGCTGGGACTACAGGCTCCCGCCACCTCGCCCGGTTAGGTTTTTGTATTTTTTAGTAGAGACGGGGTTTCACCGTGTTAGCCAGGATGGTCTCGATCACCTGACCTCGTGATCCGCCCGTCTCGGCATCCCAAAGTACTGGGATTAACAGGCTTGAGCCACTGCGCCCGGCCTATATTAACTCTTTTTAGAGTTTTCCCTTAGAACACTGGTTAATAGAAGACTTTGTCCTAACATGTTTAACAGTTAAAGTGGTATATCAGTACCTTTATTATCATGAAAGTTTTTAGAGCAGATCTTATTTAGCTGTGGTGACAAGACATAGGCTTTTGTTTCATAAGGAATACTAGGTAAATCTTGTAGATGAATTATTTTAGTGGAGAATAGATATAGATATGTTAATAATATTTAGAGGCTATTTCTTAAGATTTCTCTATTTACTGACCTCCCAGTTTAGTTTTTCTTCAAAGCAGTACCCTGCCTAGTTGCATGAACTTTTCCTTTTTTTTCTAGAGTCTTTTTTTCTTCTTCCATAACTTTTCTATAATCTTTCCTGATTACTTTCTACTCTGCTTTCCTTGGTGTTCTTTTCTTCTATTATTTTATTCCTTTCTGCCAGCCCCATTTTTCTATAGGTAAAATTAAAGGCACGTGGAATTTTAGGATTTTAAAGATTCTTGGAGACTAATCAAAATACTTTCATATTTCAACCTGTATTTAATATCCTGCAAAAATAGTTGTTCAGATGGAGAGTCTGAAACTCAAAGTGACTTATTTAAATATAGGAGGTAGCAGAAGTAATATTTACACTCATTTCAAAGCCCATTACTCTTGTTTTTATATCATCATGTACGTGAGTGTTTGAATAATAGGAAGAGGGAATGGGTCTAATTAAACAAATGGAAAACAATAAGAATGGAATTAGCTGGAGAACCCAGTGGAAGTAGATAAGAATGAAATTTATCAGGGAAAGGCCAAGTCTGAAGAGAAACAGTCCCAGGATTGGTAGGAGTAAGGGTTTTACCAAAGAGATCAGAATGTTGGACCTTATGTCAAATTTGATGAAGATAAATTAGAGGAACAAAAACACAGAAGACATTGGGAGTTATCTAGAAGGGCATACTAAAACAATGTTGAAAAGAAATCCTGAATAGGTCGCTGCTTTTTTGCTTGTTTAATTGGAGGAATGGACAAACTTCAAGCTTTTTAATGAAAAATGGAAAAAAAAAAAAAAAAGAGCCACTGGGAAAAGTCTCCACAATCAGATAGAAATGTCCTATTCTGTTCTTTCACCGCAAATCTCACAGGAGTGGCTTAGAGCCCCTTGAGCGCTAGGGGATTAAAGTTTGCTGAGTTAGATATATCTGTGGCCCAAGGCAGATGTCCCCTCCCCTTTGACTCTTTTTCCAAGCCTCTGATATCCTACCCATGTACATATAGAGCAGGGATAAGACTGACTGGCATATAAGTCATGGTTCAGTTGGGTTTTTGGTAACATGCTTATGCTAGAGGTGAATGACTAAGACTCCATTTAGTTGTTTTCCAGGAACAGGTAAATACAGAGCTTCTTGGTTGGTCATTGAGTTTATCTTTTCAGTAGTCTGTGCTTTGATAAGCTGAATATTTAAAGGTTGGAGACTGCCATGAAGCCCGGCAGAAGAAAGATCTGGAAGTGGGAGAAACTTTCACTATATACAGTGGCTCCCACTTCCAGATCTTTCTCTCTGTGTATGTATAGTACTTAGAGAAATCGAACTATCAGGACTCAGTTTTTCTAGCAGACTCTCTCCTTGGGTACAAGTACCTATGAAGATTTTTAAGGCTTTGCTAGTTTATGTAGACCTGAACAAGGAAGGACAAGTATAAAATAAGTAGTTCGATTTTATTATTTTTAATGTTTCAATTTTTTATGAGAAAAATATTCCCAGTAACAAATACACATTTGTAATTTGCAATTTGTAGGTTCAGCTTTTCAACATTTCAAATATTTCAGGGGACTCTCTGTTGTGTTTTAGGGTGAAGGGAAGCAACAGGGCCTTCTTAAGTGGCTTTTATGCTGAAAAACAAAGAATGTCATTTTCCAGTGACACAGATTAGTCTTTGAATCAGAGATAGATAATGGAAAAGGGACAAGGTAGCTGTATCTTTCTTCCTTATTTTACATTATCAAGTTTGTTCCAGTTTAGATATCAAAAGTTATGTCAGCCATTAAGTAGATTTCCACTTCATCATTGAGAACAGTTTGGGAGGACGAATGATACTCAGGGTATGCCAATTATATTGGTTGTCGCTATTTCTTATGGAACTAAGAGTCAGTCTTTATTGTATGTTCTAGGTTGGGAAGGTAGAGTCAAAAATAAAAATAGGTAACTAAAATCATTTTTAAAAACAGAGGGCATATTTTAATTCTACCAAGAAACGTGATATAATATACAGAGGACTGATCTTTCCCCAGATTTTGTTTTTTGTTTTCATTTTTTAGAGTGAGCAGCAAGATATGAACTAGCAGATTTTCTTTTTAAATATATGAATTTGCTCATTTCTGTTTTATCTTTTTTCTCTAAAGTCTTCGTGGCAAACCGACTATTGAAAATTCACAGTCTACAAAAGTTGAGGAAGACTTTAATCTTGCTACCAAGGTAAAATGGTCTCTTGTGAAGTTGATTTTCTCAGTTGGAATCTAGTTCTGTATAGCATTTACTTTTCATGGTTAGCAGTGGTATAAGTATCATTATTTCATGTTGGTAATATAAAGTTGGTCAGATAAAAACATTTTATAGAAATATGAGTTGTTGATGTAAACAGTTTTTTTTCTTTTTTTTTTTTTTAACTTCAGTAAATAACAAATCATTGGTAAATACTTTGAGGGTGTGAGGCGAAAATATGGAATGGGCTGGAGAAACAGGAACATTATACTAGAAAAAACTTTTCCACAGTAGAGAATATATAAAATCTGGTAAAGGTTTATTTGCATAAGTATACTTACTGTGACTTTTAAAATTATTCTATTGTAACTTGAAACAAAACTCATGCTTAAATTTATCTTAATGGATCCAGTTACTTATTATTGTAATCACGGAATCTCTCTGATACTGTTCAGTTCCGAAACTGTGCCACATAGCATATAGGTTTTTTCTTTGGCACTTATTATTTTGATATCTCGTAGTTTTTAGGAGAGAGTTTTTTCTCAGTTTCTCTTGTTGGTTCTTTAATTACACCAAAATAATATTAGAAATTGTGAAAATTTATTTGGGCATGCTGGTGCTTGCCTGTAGTTCCAACTACCAATGAGGCTGATGCTTGAGCCCAAGAGTTTGAGACCAGTGTGGGCAACATAGCGAGACCTTATCTCTAATTTAAAAAATAATGGTAGAAATTTAGAAATGTAAATTCTCTTTCTCAGAGTCTGTATTATTAAGGCATGCCAGTGTGTTTTCTAAGTTATTTCATTAAAGGTAGACTTTAAACTCTTCATCTAAACGAAGAATGCAGGTTTTACCCCAAGTAAACAACAATTTTGGAAGCAGAGACTCTTAATAAGCCTATGGTAAGATTTTAATTTCGGAATTTTTAAATTGCAGTTTTTAAATATATGGTTCAAAGATCTTTGATCTCATTTGAAAATTTTAAATTTCAGAAGATTTTGTGTTTAGTTATTTAAATAATCATTTTGAAGCTCTTGCATCACTATGAGATACCGCAGGTTAGAAAACACTTGTGTGCATCCTAGTGTACCCAGAATACAGTCTGGCATATAAAAAGCATTTTAAGAGGTTTTCAATGTGAATAAATGAGCAGACAAATGAATTTTTATGTAATGGAATGTTACAAGTAAGATAATATGCATAATATATCTTATAATTAAATCTAAGGCATTTCTAAAATCTGGCTTAAATTTATATTTTCTTTTAATATTTACAATGCATAAATTCATGTGACTTATCTTGAGAAAATATGTCCCAGATAAGAAGACAATCAGAGATATGTAGTAAATAGGAAAGAAGTTTACACTATATATTCTAGTATCCTCCAGTGGAGTTTAGAATAAAAAAATTTTAATATATTTTAGTCTCAACTCATGTTCTTTTTTTTTTTTTTTTTTTTTTTTGAGACAGAGTCTCCCTCTGTCATGCAGGCTGGAGTGCAGTGGTGTGATCTCGGCTCACTACTACCTTCTCTGCCTCCCGAGTTCAATCAGTTCTTCTGCCTCAGCCGCCTGCGTAGCTGGGACTACAGGCGTGTACACCACACACAGTTACTTTTTGTAATTTTAGTAGAGACAGGGTTTCAGCATGTTGGCCAGGATGATCTCGATCTCTTGACCTTGTGATGCGCTCGCCTTGGCCTCCCAAAGTGCTGGGATTACAGGGTGAGCCACCGCGGCTGTCCAAAACTCATGTTCTATTAAACGTATCTTTTCAAGGAATACATTACTCTAAAATTCTGATTACCAATACTTTCTTCAGGTGAAAAGTTTAGAAACGTTTCTTCTTAAATTTTTTCTCTCTCGGTAGTAACAATGTTCTCGCTTTTAGGCATTGGCTGAAGACCATGTTTAACCAATTGAACGTCTTATTATATAATACTAAAATTAAAATCTTTATCACCCAGGTATTAACAAATAACTAATTGTAGTGTAAATACCGATCAGCATTATGGGAATATATTATGAACAAAAGTCTACTTTATGTGTTTCATCACATGTCTTATAGTTGTTTTTCATTTTCTTTCATGAATGAAGCTCATACTTGATTAACTGGTCATGGCTCTTGTTTGTTTCTCCCTCTTCCTTCACCTTTTCAAAATGATTTACTGCAGACTTTTTTACTCACAGAATACATTTCTTTAGTGTCTGCTTTTTAGGGCATTGCTGTCTCAATTGTCAGCATATTTATTTACAGGTTTCTATTTAGTTGCTATGTATGATTTTCATTAATCAGTCATGATCCCCCCCCAAGATTTATTCTTTTTTTCTCTGTTTCTTAGAAGAAGCAGAATTTATACAATTATTTATACTTAGCTTTTTGCCACACAGAATAGAAACAACCTACACTATTTCAATGCAAACCCAGTTAAATAAGGTACTATTAAAAAACTAAACTTTCACATTTTTCCACACAAGAGGTAATTAATACAACTGTAAATTGGGAAGAGATATTTCAAAATATAACATGTAATTTAACTTTTTAAATTTTAATTATTTCAACAATACTATAAATTATGTGAGAGCAAATTTTTGCCCTAGGTTATTTTAGTTAAAAAAATAATCTAACGGCCGGGCGTGGTGGCTCCCGCCTGTAATCCCAGCAATTTGGGAGCCCGAAGCTGAGGATCACGAGGTCAGGAGATTGAGACCATCCTGGCTAACAAGGTGAAACCCTGTCTCTACTAAAAATACAAAAAATTAGCCGGGCATAGTGGCAGCCACCTGTAGTCCCAGTTACTCAGGAGGCTGAGGCAGGAGAATGGCGTGAACCTAGCGGCGGAGCTTGCAGTGAGTCGAGATCGCGCCACTACATTCCAGCCTGGGCGACAGAACGAGACTCCGTCTCAATAATAATAATAATAATAATAATAATAATAATAATAGTCTAATGGATATCACCATATTTGTTTAATAATAAGTTACATGAAGGGGTTGAAATGAAATAATTCATTGAAGAAGGGTAAGATAAACATAGAGACTCAATGAGTCAAGATGACACAGATTATTATAAAAAACACAGCAAAAATAGTGGTTTAAATGAGAGGAGGAACTCTCTAGGATAAGAGATATGACACAAATTATTTAAAATAAAAATTAAGAAAGCATAGCAAGGTAATAAAATATGGCTCAGGTGTTTCTGAGTGACTTGCAGTTGATTTTAATAAAAAGCTGAAATAAAATATAAGGATGATTATAGGTAAGAGCAATTTGTTGTACTCTTTAAAATACCTAGTAGAGAATAATTTGAATGTTTCTAGCATAAAGGAAAGATAAATACTTAAGGTGATTAATATCTCAATTATTCTGACTTGACTATATGAACGTAGTAAGTGATAATATGTACCCCCAAAACAAGTACATTTACAGTGTGTCAACAAAAAAATTATAAAGAAGGAACAAAAATTTAATTCTCACTTCTTTTAGTAACTTTATGTTTTATATATAATCTAGTCATATTTATATTAATGTAGAATGTAAAGTGAATTCTGTTTTAGGTCTTGTCAACTTTATTGTGAATTTTTAATTTTTGACTCTTTGGTTTCTGGATTAAGATTTCTAACTTAATGTCTGACATATTCTTAGGTTATTTAACTAATTTATCTTACTCTCTGATATAACCTTGGTAGCTGTTTTGAATACGTTTGATAATATAGTATAAATAAATAAGCATTTTATTTAAGTTTACTATTAAAATTAAATTTTCTGATCATATGAACAAGGTTCTTAATCTGTATATCTTAAAAGAGAAAAATCACTTTTAAGCTACAAAACTCTCAATGAAATAAATGTAGAAATTATTAATCTCTAGGAATATTCTGACATCTTTTGCTCATAATATCTGTATGTAATGGTATTATATGCACACATCAACTGAATGTAATCAATATTTGTGATTTTTTTAAAAGTAAAGTACCTATTATCATAGAATCATAGGTAAGGGAAGATTGATAACAGAGTAAACAAACTTATCATTGGAAGAATACTTTTTAAAAACTCTTAAAACTATCTCTTGCAATGGGGATATTTTATATTCTTTCCATGAAGCCTTATTAACTTTAGTCTTCATAACTATTACACCTTGCACATATATTTGTTTATTTCTAAAACTCAGGAATCCTGTCGACTTGAATTTTTTAGTTTCTTTCTTTTCTTCTCCTGTGAATACTGAATCCTGCTTGACAATCATAGATATGTGTAAAAACTATGAAATCTTCAACTTGAATAATTATTGCTTAATTTTCTTTATGAGAGATATTTTCTCCAATTTTAAACTGCCATCTTATATGGTGTAAATAGGCAATTAGAGCTAGTATTGTCTTGTTTACAGGAATATAAGAAAAGCGTGTGAATTTTAAAACAGGGTTTCACATTTCTATCTCACTTTATAGTAGTACTTAAAAATGCCTCATAATTATATAGGTAAGCATTTCTCTTGTACAATTAAAAATTTGCAAGGTTTTTATAAAGGTCATTTTGTAGAATCTTGTTTTAAAATTAAATGTTTTCATTCAATTCAAAGATACATATTACAATAATATTTCAGAAATAAATATTTACCTATATAAATAAAATTATATTCTTGAAATAAATTTGGAAGTATATAACTGAGAAACTTAAACCCATGTTTTTCTCTCTCCCTTTGATTTCATTTTCAAAATTTCAGCAGTTTGCATAGATTTGTTTTAATTCTACCCATTTAGTCTAGCTTATATTTATTTTCTTATCACTTTGTAATTTTCCTCAAGTAGGTAATCTACTCATACTCCAAATGTATTTATCCAGATCTTTCTTCCAAGCCCCTTAGATGCCTGAAATCTTATAGGTCTCAAACTGAAAACATCATTTTTATTTTTTTCCTGATTCTTTCCTGACTCTTTGTAATTTACTCTGTCATCTTGTTTCCCCATCCTAGTAAATAACACCTGGAAAGTAGCCATGAAATACTCAAGCACTTCAACCAGCACTTCAACCGTACCCCACATCCTGCACTTCAACCCTCCTCCAGGTCACCAATCCAGTCACCCACCAAATTTTGTATTATCTACCTTCTTATAATTTTCCATATCTTATTATCATAATTAATTCTCTACCTATAATTTTGAAGTACTCCTTTCTACTTTTGCCCCATCTCCCCATGTTCATCTTTACACCACTGGAAGGGTCACCTTTCTAAACTATATTTGTAATGATGCAACTCATCCGCATATTGAGTGAATACCCGTTACATGAAGGGGTAATTTCACATTCTAGTGTGACACATACCGTATATGGTTTGGCCCCATTTTATCTCTTCAATTCATTTCCTCTGACTGTGTTCCAGTTTTACCACATAACTTTGGCATCCCTCAGTTGCCATGTTGTTTCATGCCTTATTATTTTGCACATGCTATTGCGCCAAGAGTCTTTGTATCCTGACTCTGCACTTTGTCTGTCCTTCCAAATATGGTCCCATTATGGCAGCATTTTCTATGCTTTTCAGGTAAAACTGATTTTTCTCTCCTTTTTTCCCTTATGTATTTTAATGACTTAAATTGTAGAACTGGTGAAGTATACTTTTCTGTTCTTATTTGTTTTCACATATCTCTACCATTTCTTGAATATAGGCTAGAATCTATCTTCCATGGATATTTTCTGCTTTTCCCAGAATAGTGCCTATGATTTGATAAATACAATGTGTGTATTTGTTGTTGTTGTTGTTTGTCCTACTGACAAATTGAGTGAATGACTGAGTTAATACATACAATTTTTTTCTGAAGTTTTTATTGTTGTTGTTGTTGTTACTTTCTGTTTTTTGTTTGTAATAGGAGGGAGCAACAAAGACAGTAACTGGACAACAAAAACATGATATTGGCATTATTGAACAAGCTCCACAAGATCAAACAAGTAATGACAATTTTATTTTTTATACCAAAATAATAGAAGTGGTAATTTAGTGAGAAAAATATTCCCAGTAACAAATATACATTTGCAATTTGAAATTTGTAGGTTCAGCTTTTCAACATTTCAAATATTTCAGGGGACTCTCTGTAGTGTTTTAGGGTGAAGGGAAGCAACAGGGCCTTCTTAAGTGGTTTTTATGCTGAAAAACAAAGAATGTCATTTTCCAGTGACACAGATTAGTCTTGGAATCAGAAGAAGAAGAAAAAGACAAAGAAACAGAAAGTATAAATTTAAGATACTCTCTCTAAACAAGGAGAAAGGAGTGATGAAAAAATAAATTTGAAATGGTGTTGGATGGAAAGAATCAATTCTACGGAGTTAGGGGTTTTTTTATTTTTTATTTTTATTTTTTAGTAGAGGCATTTTGAGGCAGGTAACAGGGTACAAACAAGAAAGAAGGTAGCTTCTTTCTGAGAAGACTCTGAGAAGACTCTGAGAAGGAAAGTTGAGTGAACTCACTTCAGATGCATTTAGATTATTTGTACTTCAGAAAGTAAATTGTGGACACTCCAGAGACTACTGGAAGCAGGAGGCTTGCTAGAATTGTGGTAACCACAGGGACTCATTAGGTTTCTCTGTTACAATCAGTCATGACAAATACATATTTTGTTGATGTTAGCTATTCAAATGAGATATATTTGAAATTAAGAACACTGGCTTTATTTTTAAGAAAGTGAGTTGTTTTGGTAAAATTGCCATTCCACAAAAATTTATTATAGACCAACGATACACCAAATCAGACGAATTGTAGGAACTAAAAAAATACTGAATTTATACTTGAATAATAAGATTGCTTTTTAAAATAAATATTGTGGTGACTTAACAATATAAAAAGTTATTTATGTTTAATACATCTATTATGGTTAATTTTTATATAAATATGTCAATATTGAAAGCTTAGTATAGATTATTTCCACGATGAGTTTTATACATCTTCTTGCATGAGTGGATCAAGAAGCATTCAGATGAATAAACTAGAGGATAGAGAAATGTAGGCCTATGATTACACCACATAGTTATGGAAAACAACGAATATTTCTATTTTGTATTATGACCTAAGTATATATCCAAACTGATCAATTCATAACTCTTCACTGACGAGATGTCAATTCTACATTCAGCTGAACTCTCATCATAACTATATACCTTTCCAAAGATAGGCCATATTAAATAACATGATGAATGGAATAATATAAATGATTCTAATGTGTTTCATTTAGTACATGGTGTAGCATTCCATGTTCAGCTTTGACATTTATTTTCTCATATCAACCCTTTTTACACGTGAAACACAATCTCACTTTTGAAGTCTTAACTGCATGATCTGTGAAACCTTTATTTATATTTTCTTCAGTGTATTCCTGTCATGTGTGTGTCCTAAACAAACTTTCCAAATCTAAAGTATTCATTCTCAAAGTCAACCAAGAGAACTCAGTTAGATACTATCACTGCATTCATTTGTGGTTGGCTTTGTCATATTTACATATGATTGATGATAAATCTCTTTTGCTTTTAAGAGCCTCCTGAGAAGCCATCTGCCTTCAAGGTATTTAGTTTTATAATTTCATTTTTAATGACTTATTAACTACGTATTTTGTGAAGTATACATTCTTTAATAATCATTTCGCTTCCAAACCCATTTAGCCTGCCACTAAAATGCAAAACTCTGTTCCAAATAAAGCCTTCAAATGGAAGAATGAACAAACATTGAGAATAGGTAAATTTTTCAATTTAACTATGGAAATATGAATATTTCAATATTGAACAGTTTGATAGTCTTTCTATCTCCAATGCTTAATTTTTTTCAACTTTGATGAAAAGATTTGATCTAAGTAATGCCAATACTGGTATTTATATTTGAAAACCTGATATTACAAGAACAGTAATTTTCAATAGTTTTTTTAAAATGTAACCTTAACCTCAGGTGTTTCTAGTTTTGTATCCAAAAACTGTAATGTTTTCTATTTTGAACTTCTGTATTTCTTAAGGATTCAAGAAGGTGGATTTTGAAAATCTAATTTTTTTTAGTTCTTCAAAGCTTGATTCAATTCCATGGTTTACTTCGGATCGCTTCTTTTATTGATATAACACTTGTGTTTCAACATTAATGACCTGATTTCCAGTGTTGTCACTTTGGGAATCCTAAGAAAATCAGTAACTCTGAGTAGTGAACTATGTGTGTTTGTGTGTGTGTTTCATCGTGTGTGCCTGTGTGTGTCTGTTTTTGTGTGTTTTACCTTTACTATGTAAAGATGAGGAAAGTAATCAGTCATTTCTTTGTGAATATTTGATAAACACACTTTTTCATAAAACTGTGATTCTGAAGCATTTGGCTTTAGAGTCTTTTTACACTAGTACTGTTTATTATTATTTTTATTACTATACTTTAAGTTCTAGGGTACATGTGCACAATATGCAGGTTTCTTACATATGTATACATGTGCCATGTTGGTGTGCTGCACCCATTAACTCGTCACCTACACTTGGTATATCTCCTAATGCTATCCCTCCCCTGTCCCCCCTCCACAATAGGCCCTAGGGTGTGATGTTCCCTTTCCTGTGTCCAAGTGATCTCATTGTTCAATTCCCATCTATGAGTGAGAATATGCGGTATTTGGTTTTCTGTTCTTGGGATAGTTTGCTGAGAATGATGGTTTCCAGCTGCATCTATGTCCCTAAAAAGGACACGAACTCATCCTTTTTTATGACTGTGTAGTATTCCATGGTGGATATGTGCCGCATTTTCTTAATCCAGTCTGTCACTGATGGACATTTGGGTTGATTCCAAGTCTTTGCTATTGTGAATAGTGCCACAATAAACATACGTGTGCATGTGTCTTTATAACAGCATGATTTATAATCCTTTGGGTATATACCCAGTAATGGGATGGCTGGGTCAAATGGAATTTCTAGTTCTAGATCCTTGAGGAATCACCACACTGTTTTCCACAATGGTTGAACTAGTTTACAATCTCACCAAAAGTGTAAAAGTGTTCCTATTTCTCCACATCCACTCCAGCACCTGTTGTTTCCTGACTTTGTAATGATTGCCATTCTAACTGGTGTGAGATGGTATCTCATTGTGGTTTTGATTTGCATTTCTCTGATGGCCAGTGATGACGAGCATTTTTTCATGTGTCTGAATGTCTTCTTTTGAGAAGTGTCTGTTCATATCAATTTTTTCATGTGTATGAATGTCTTCTTTTGAGAAGTGTCTGTTCATATCCTTTGCCCACTTTTTGATAGGGTTGTTTGTTTTTTTCTTGTAAATTTGTTTGAGTTCTTTGTAGGTTCTGGATATTAGCCCTTTGTCAGATGAGTAGATTGCAAGAATGTTCTCCCATTCTGTAGGTTGCCTGTTCACTCTGATGGTAGTTTCCTTTGCCGTGCAGAAGCTCTTTAGTTTCATTAGATCCCATTTGTCAATTTTTGCTTTTGTTGCCATTGCTTTTTGTGTTTTAGACATGAAGTCCTTGCCCATGCCTATGTCCTGAATGATATTACCTAGGTTTTCTTCTAGGGTTTTTATGGTATTAGGTCTAACATTTAAGTCTCTAATCCATCTTGAATTAATTTTCGTGTAAGGAGTAAGGAAAGGATCCAGTTTCAGCTTTCTACTTATGGCTAACCAAGTTTCCCAGCACCATTTATTAAATAGGGAATCCTTTCCCCGTTTCTTGTTTTTGTCAAGTTTGTCAAAGATCAGATGGCTGTAGATGTGTGGTATTATTTCTGAGGGCTCTGTTCTGTTCCATTGGTCTATATCTCTGTTTTGGTGCTGGTACCATGCTGTTTTGGTTACTGTAGACTTGTAGTATAGTTTTAAGTCAGGTAGTGTGATGCCTCCAGCTTTGTTCTTTTGGCTTAAGACTGTCTTGGCAATGCGGGGTCTTTTTTGGTTCCATATGAACTTTAAGGTAGTTTTTTCCAATTCTGTGAAGAAACTCATTGGTAGCTTGATGGGGATGGCATTGAATCTATAAATTACCTGGGGCAGTATGGCTGTTTTCACAATATTGGTTCTTTCTATCCGTGAGCATGGAATGCTCTTCCATTTGTTTGTATCCTCTTTTATTTCACTGAGCAGTGGTTTGTTGTTCTCCTTGAAGAGGTCCTTTGGGATGTACACTAGTACTATTTATTGCCTAGAAGAAACCAATATAATAAACTATCTTTAAAAACTATTCTTATGCATGTTTAAACATTTTACAACAGGTGTGCATAGTCATATTTAATATGTAAAATATTTTTCAACTTCCAATGCGTATATGGTGGTACAATGTAATTTTTGGCAACATTGTTTTTCGATAAGCGTTATAATTTTTAGAGATATCCATAGTGGACACAATTAACTGTGTTTTTAAATATTAGGTGGCTTATAAAATTCCATTGTATGAATGTACTACACAATTTTTATGCTGATAAATAATAAATAAAAATGAAAACAAGCAGATTTCAGTCTTTAAGTTAGTTTTATATACTGAATTTTTAGTTATTGGAAATTAAAACTAAAATATTTAAAGTATTTCCTTGTGAAGTCATACATTCCACTAACAATTCGAACTGTGACCCACACAGTATAGAGCTACAGTGTTGCGACTTGTCAGATCTCTGAAACCATCCAGGGTACACTTCTAAAAATGAGTGAAAATGGTGACATACCAAGTTATGATTTGGTTTCTTGGACCCTGTGCATGAAATGTGAACTTTACGGATGTTGAGATCACAAGTAAAATATAATTTTCTGCATTTTAATGAATGATATAACATTAAATGTCAGATTTTTTAGATTTCAATTCTAACGGATTGACTATAGAAGTAGTGATTGTAATCGACAAAAAGAATATACGAGCTACAGAGGGAAAACACCTCAGATTCGTGAATGAAAGTAGATTTGTATATGTTTTTAAAGTTCATAGTAGAGAAAAGTTCTCATGAATGTATCTGTGATTAACCTTTTATAGCTCAGATGTTCCAAGCAGGATCAAAACAAAAGGACAATGAAGAAAATTCCTTGGATTTTGAGGTACTGCGTATTATTGATTTTTAAAAATATTAGTATTGCATGATACGAAAACATAAAATCAGAGGCTTAGACTTTCTCACCTCTGCATATGTCACCCCCAAATCATGTTTGATATTTTTCAGAATACGCTTAATAGAGAATTTATGTGCTAAGTAGATAACTGCTTCATAGTGAAATTCTGCTAATTTCTAGGATTAATTTAAGAAGCCAGTGGGGTACAGTATAAAAAAAAGGCTTAGAAGTCACTAGAAATTCACATGGGATCTGAAGTAAGTTTATCTAAAAGCAAAAGAAATATACTGGGTCCAGCTGTGGGCAGATTTATGACTCTGTGGTATATCTAGATGTACAAAATTTCTAAATGGATTCATAGAGAGAGAGTCTACACTGCAGTATTCTAAAAGTTGGTACCTGAAAAGTTAACGCCTGGGACTTGAATGTATTGACACTTCTATATTGTACAGTATAGACCTGAGGGAACATTTCAGGAGAAAGAAAAGTGTGAGGAATAGGAAACCTTGTGGGACCATAAAAACAAGAGTACTGGTTGAGTAGTCTTTTGAAAAATATAAATTATTTTCACAAATAGAACTCCTTGAGTCCCTTTATGGCAGGCAGTCAAGTTGCAGCAGCATGAGCGTCAAACAATAGTGATGTATTTTAAGTTCACAACTGTGGAAAGACATAGGAAATATCTGACCTCTTAGAAATAAGCAGCTCCTGCCTGGTGGTAACAGCAAAGGGTGGAGGGCAATAGACAAGTAGATTTTATCTGATTTGTCATCAGACAAAAAGATTTTAATATTTGCTTGCTTTCATTTAGATACGACATATTTTTTTCTTACTGCATTTACATTCAATTCAGGCACTTTTTCTATCAGCATACATTTTGTTAAAAACACGTTGCTTGTTTTAAGCTCCTGTTTACCAAAATAAAGAAGCGTTTTCAACATCTGTGCATACATTACATCACAGACTCTCAAAGTTCTCTTCATGACATGCATCATTTTTAACACTAAACGATACTCTCATCATGAATAGTTTAAATGTTTTTTTTTTTTTTTTTTTTTGAGACGGAGTCTCGCTCTGTCGCCCAGGCTGGAGTGCAGTGGCGCAATCTCGGCTCACTGCAAGCTCCGCCTCCCGGGTTCACGCCATTCTCCTGCCTCAGCCTCCCGAGTAGCTGGGACTACAGGCGCCCGCCCCTGCGCCCGGCTAATTTTTTCTATTTTTAGTAGAGACGGGGTTTCACCATGGTCTCGATCTCCTGACCTTGTGATCCGCCCACCTCGGCCTCCCAAAGTGCTGGGATTACAGGCGTGAGCCACCACGCCCGGCAGTTTAAATGTTTAATGCGGTATGTGTTATGGCAACTAGCAAGTGTATTGTATTTTGTTTGAAATGTCATGTTGATTTTTTATAAGAACTACAACACAAGCTAGATATTTTTAAGAGAGTTACTTTTTGAAATACGCAGGAGTGAATTATTTCGTGCATGTGACTTGTTTTTCCTTCTCACTAACCAAGTTAATCGCATCATGAACGTAAAGATAAGCTTGATATAGAGAGCGTTACGTGAGGTTTTCTATCAAAATGTTTTGGGTTTCAACACACGTCTGCTCTTAAGTCAAATTGCTTGTAAAGTAGGAAACTGTGTTCTTCCAAAAGATTTTAATTAGGAAATTTTGATACTCTTCATTATTGGGATTTCTCCGTTGAAATTATTTATTGATATTACTTTTAACAGAATTTCCTTGAGAATCTTTTACAGAATGATGAATGTTTACCCAAGGCTACACATCAAAAAGAATTCAGTAAAATAAGTGGAAAATTAGAAGGTAAGAACCATTTTTATTTAAAGAGACATTTGACCAAGTATTTCTATAAACAGATGAGGAAGGATACCCCCAAATAGCCAAAGAAAAGTACCTCCTAAATGCAAAGCATGGAAAAAATGTGAAGTGAAATTGTGATAAATTGTACTTCTTATCAGGTGTTGGCAACAGACTACATTGAGAGTGCTGAAAGGAAACTGAATTATTAGTTTGAATTCAAGATATTCCAAGACCTGAGGAAAATGAGAAAATAAGAAAGAAGATAGTAGTAAAAGAGGAAATGAAGACTGAGAAAGACAGAGAGTACACAGAGTACAGGAAGGAACGAAAAGCAGGTTTATATAATGCGGGATGGTAAAATGAAATGATTCTTTAGGAAAAGATCGGGTATGGTTAGAAATTTGGGAAGAATATAAAGTGACTTTCCAGTACCAAAAATTACCAGAGAATTAGTGCAAAAATACTGTGACTCTTTCCAACTTTCTCAGTGGTGGGAAGCTGTGAGGGATGGAAGCACTTCACCATGGAGAGCTGTGTTGTATTTGCAGTAGGTGGGAATAAGCATATATGCACGGCCACTAATGTATGTAATTTCTCATATACACTCCGTATAGACCAGAAGTTTTCAGACATTAGAAAATCAGCTGGAAACCTTGTTAACAATTCACACTGTGATTCAGCCGACTAGGGATTCTGCATTTTTAATAAGATGTCAGGTGATGTTGTTGCTGGTTGTCCTTGGACCTTGCTCTGAGTAGCAAGAGGAGAGGCCTTTCGTGGGAGAAATGTGGAGGAAGAGCAATTGGATATAGAAGGTGAAGACAGAAAAGGGTCAGGAGAAAGCATTATGTTGCTCTTATTTTTGAGTATGTTTTTAACCAGAGAAGAAGAAAGAAAATTCAGAATGTTTTACTTGAATACTTAAATTGTTGTTATTCATAGGTACTGTACTGATATTAATATAGAAAATGTTATTAATATTTAAGAAGTCTGTTGCAACTAAATTTGAAACAGATATATCAATATTGAAAGCGTATTTGCTATTCCTGATGAGTTTTGCACATCTTCCTCCATGAGTGGATCAAGAAATATTGAGATGGCTAAGCTACAAATTACAAAAATGTTGACATACCATTATACCATCTGGGTATGAAAATCAGTGAATATTTATATTGAGTATTATTCTCTAAGTATATATCCAAGCTGATCAATTCATAACGCTTTCACTGAGGAGATGTGAATTCTACATTCAGCTGAACTCTCATCTGAACGGTGTATCTTCTCAATGACAGGACATGGTAAAGAGCACGATGAATGCTTGCAATACAATGATATATATTATTTTAATGTGCTGCGTTGAGGACACAGCGTAGCATTCTCCGTCGAGCTGTTGCATTTATTTTCTCAGTGTCATGATTTGCTCCTCTGATTCAAGATCACTTCTCTTCTCATCACTCAGCATATACATATTGGTATTAAAGCTTTTTGCAAACATCATATATAAAGGGGTGTACCGTGTTCTTGTCATTCCACAGCAACTTTGTTTTGTTCGGCGATTAGATCGCCTTTCATTTATTTTAAGATTTCAGGCCGGGCGCGGTGGCTCAAGCCTGTAATCCCAGCACTTTGGGAGGCCGAGACGGGTGGATCACAAGGTCAGGAGATCGAGACCATCCTGGCTAACACGGCGAAACTTCCTCTCTACCAAAAAATACAAAAAACTAGCAGGGCTTGGTGGCGGGCGCCTGCAGTCCCAGCTACTCCAGAGGCTGAGGCAGGAGAATGCGAGAACCCGGGAAGCGGAGCTTGCAGTGAGCCGAGATCGCGCCCCTGCACTCCAGCCTGGGCGACAGGACGGGACTCCGTCTAAAAAACAACAAAAAAAGATTTCGTAGTGTGCATATTGCATGTTCACGTAGCACCACGTTTAATTGGACTCTCTTCATGATGATTCAAAAGCAACATAAGTATAATTACAGATGCCAACAAGCCTTTGTTTAAGTGTATGTCCTGCTTCATGCTATATTAGAAATTAAAAGTGAAGTATTTAATATACAGGTATGCAAAGCCATACATTTCAATAGCCATTACAAATGTGGCTCACTAATCTTTCGGGCTATGCCATGTGACCTGTCCTGACTCTAAAAAATCTCCAGCATACCCCTTTATAAAAATGAAAGTAATAAAAGAAAATAACTAGGGTAGTATTTCCTGGATTGTGAACTTCAAGGAAAATCAGATCACAATTTAGAAATAGAGTTTTCAACCATGCCTAGGATTCCTAAGTTCCAAGTGGTAAACGGTTCCTTGATGATGAGATAGCTGTGAATGTTTCATCTCTGCCTGTTTTGCTTTTTTATCTTGTCTTAGAAAAGTGAAAGCCAGCTATTTTCTTCATAAAGGAAAATATTTTGGTTACATATTCATTTCCTATCTCATGGCACTCTGCTGTCTTTGCCCTTAGTGAGGATGTACGTTTATCATATTTTTACCTAAAACAAGCACATGAATTAATGGTATCAATTCTCACATCTGAATTTCTGAGGTTTCTTCAGTGCTTCAGACGTAAGTTTGAAAGATACTAACGAATTGAGAACGACCTTCTCATTGTAATTAAAGCAGGTTTTTATTTAAAGCGTATCGGATACAATGTTAAGCACTTTTTTTCCCTAAAACACATACATGCAATATGATCATGCGTATTTAGCCTTAAAAGGGTTAGACATAAATTTGGTGTGTTTTAGAGGGTTAATATCCCTGAAGTGCCTTAATTGAGAGCTGATCAATCATCTCTCAAGGGAAACAACATGTATAAGTGGTATTTTTAAATATATTAAGGTATGTCATACTGAAAAATGTAAAAGTAGAGAAAACTGAGAGATTAAGCCTATTTTATTAGTATGATTTGATGAAAGGGATATATTTCTATGTGAAAGAAACGTCTGTTTTTTCTTGAAGCTAAGTGTTTCATAAGAGCTTTTTCATAACGGTAGTTTAACAACTCATATGGTACAACAAATAGAATAAATTTTAGCGACAAAGCAATTGTAGAATTCATTCCTTGAACGCTGAAATTGTTATTTTCAATAACCATTATTCTAACATTGCAACACACAGGTTCATGATACGTAAAAAGTCTCTGGAAATTGACTTCTAGTTTTTGATACTTTCATATTAGGTTTTTTGTTTTTGTTTTTGTTTTTGTTTTTCTTTTTGTTGAGACAGAATCTCGCTCTGTCATCCAGGCTGGAGTGCAGTGGCATGATCTTGGCTAACTGCAACCTCCGCCTCCTGGGTTCAAGTGATTCCCGTAGCTCAGGCCCCCGAGTGGCTTGGGTTCCAGGCATGTGCCACGATACCTGGCTGATTTTTGTATTTTTTGTGGAGACAGGTTTCCTATTTTGGCCAGGCTGGTTTGGAACTCCTGGCCTCGAGAGATCCGCCCTCCTCGGCCTTCCAAAATGCTGGAATTACAGGCATGAGCCGCTGCACCAGGCCTGGATTAGTCTGTTGATGGGTATGCTTTGACCTTTTTGTATAAGTGGATCAGGAAATTTTAAGAGGACTAAACTAGAGAACCCCATAAATGTAAAAATACTCATATTTCACACAGGTACAAAAATGAACATATTTATTAACTATTATTCTATAAGTAGATGTTTATGCTGATAAATTTAGAGCATTCTCTGCAATGATAAGTGAATTGTACCTTTGAACCCTCATCGCAAATTTGCAACTTCTAAACTACAGGACAAATTGAAGAACATAAGAGCTACTTGTAGTATTTTGACATAAGTGATTCTCATGTGTTTCCTTAACTGTATATCATAGCATTCTACCATCAGCTTGGACATCTCGTTTTTTTGAGGGGGCGGGGGTCATGACTTGGTCATCTTACTGAATACAACTTCTTTCCTTATATGGCAGCTTGCTCCTACTGGTATTAGGATTTTTCTGCTTTAGTTATTGTCACTTTAAATATCTTTTCACTGTGGAAATCTTCACAGCATGTTTGATGAAATTTATTTGTTAAATTTTCTTAGGTATATTTCTGTCACATTGGCATGTTAACAAAGACAATAACCCAAAAGACCCCACAACCCAGTGTAATCCCTTTTCCATCCAAGCATGAGGATTCATCTTCATATTCACACTGTGTGAATGTTTGGTAGGCTTTGTCAGGCTTGCATATTATCAATTATATATGTCCCTTTTCTTTTAGAGTCTTCTGATAAAGATGGTCTTCTGCAGGTAACAACTTTTGTATTTTTATATTGAATATTAACTACATATTTTATGAAGTAAACGTTATATATTAATTATTTTATTTCCAAACCCATTTAGCCTACTGGTGGAATGAAAGTTTCTATTCCAAATAAAGCCTTAGAATTGAAGGACAGAGAAACAGTCAAAGCAGGTAAATTTTGTAATTTTAATTTTACTCTGCAAAGAAGAATATTAAAATATTTGAAATGTTGAGAGCGTTTTTATTCCCAATGTTGTTTTCTTTTCAAAATTTGCTGGGAAAAATTGGTACAAATAATGCCCATGTTAGTATTTATGTTTGAGAAAATATCATTTACAAGTATAAGATTTAGAGATTTCAAAAATAATGGTGCTTTACCTCATATGGTTCTACTTTAATGTCCTGATAGTATAAAGTTTCCAATTTGCAATTTCTGTACGTGCTTGGTTTTCAGGCAGGTGAATTTTGAGACTGTGAAATATTTGCAATGGTTCAAATGCTGATTGGAATTCTGATCTTTACTTAGGGAAAATTTCACTTGCTGACACGACAATTGTGAGTGTTGTCACTCTGAGAATTGAAAGAAAATCTGTTTCTTTTTTTCTGATTCGGTGACTGAGTGTGTGTGTGTGTGACTTATAATTTTAAAAAATCATGACTTGATGGCTCTTTGCTAGACACAGTGTTTTAGAAGAGTGACTCTAAAGCATTTGGCCTTGGTGTCTTTATGCTCTTGTAAATTGCCTAGAGGTAGAAAACAGCCTAAATTAGTTTTTGTTGTCATTCCCACGCATGTTTAAACCATTTTACACCAGGCTGTGCACAGTAGCACATGCTTGTAATCCTAGGATTTTGGGAGACCACGGCGGGCAGATAACTGAAGGTCAGGAGTCCCAGACCAACCTGGTCAACATAGTGAAACCCCATCTCTACTAAAAATAACAAAAAATTGCCGGTTGCAGTGGTGGGTGCCTGTAATCTCAGCTACTCTGTAGGCTTAGGCAGGAGAATCACTTGAACATAGGAAGCAGAATTTGCAGTGAGCGGAGATCGTGCCACTCCAGCCTTGCTAACAGAGTGAGACTGCATGTCAAAAAGCAACAAACAAACCAAAAAAACAAAAAACAAAAAACAAAAGACAGAAATTCACAACATATGTGTGTGGTTATAGACTATGTGTAGAATTTGTTTTCATGTCTTAATTATTGGAACTTCCTTTCTTTTTACTTTTCTTATATTTTAGATCTACTCAATACAGTTAGCTCTGCTTTGATTTAAGGCTCCATATTTTGTGAATTTAACTCTAAAGCACATTTAATTAGTCTGTCTTTCATAGCCACTAAAAGTCAACATCAAATGACAGCTTATATCAGAGAGCTTTTATTGAAGTCGGAGTATTTACTGCTTCAACTAATGTTAGAAATTAAAATGAAAATATTTAAAATACAGGAATGCATTTTAAATATTTATGTTTTGGGGATGGAGTTTCACTTTTTCACCCAGGCTGGAGTGCAATGGTGTGATCTTACCTCACTACCACCTCTGCCTCCTGGACTCAAGTGATTCTCCTACATCTTCCTCCGAGTACAAATACTCATTTGTAAACCAGTCACTAGAAAAGCAAATGTTATTACTGTGATTAGCTTAGAATAATGGTTTCTCATTTTGTAGATGAGGTGGGAGTAATGGAATAATAAATATATAAATAAACTTGTGTTTCTGCCGTAAGAAAGAAAAAATAATTTCTATGCATTAGAAGCCAACAATGTTTTCTGCAGGGATTCATTAGAATTGTTTGAGCAGGGGAGTCCCAAGATTAGATTTAAGTGTCAGAGCATTCTGGTCATGGTATAAACCAGCAATTGGCAAACTTTTCTTGCAAAGAGCCAAACAGGAAATATGTTAGGTGATGTGGTCTCTATCACAGCTTTTCAACTCTGCCATTGTAGCATTAAAGTAGTCATAGATAACGTGTGAAGAAATAGGCATGATTTTACTCCAATAAAACTTCATCTAAAATCCATTTGGTAAGCTGAATTTGGAATTTCATAACCATGGGTTGTGGAATACAGCTGTTTGCATTATGTCCCTTAATTGAGCCTGTGATACCGAGGCTCCACTAGCTTTAAGCAACTTTTTCAACACTTTTATATACTGTTTCTGTTGTGCTGATAACTGTTGTTCCATGATGAAACCCTAGCCTGAACTATTTCCCCCGAACTTGGAAATCCTGAGCGGGTACCATTGACTTACTTACTCACTGACTGTGCAGTCCTTTTCACCTTCATTTTCGAGGGGTCCATCACAATTCTTTTGCAGCATTCATCTTGTGGGGCACCACCTGCTGGGTCCATCCCAGGGACCCTGAACTAGGGATGGATGAGAGATGTACACTGAAACAGATGTTTTGCCTGTCAGTGCGGCTAAGGGGCTCTGCTGCCTGAGTGTGCATTGTTGGCCTCGATAAGCCTGCAAAGTTTGCATTTATTTGGTACAGAATAAATGACAAACATCTTGAGTATACATCACTAGAAGGTAATTAACATTGCCAACCCCCGGTACAAAGCAATCATGTACCCTCGGATGATCAAAGTTTTGTCTTAGGACCACATGAGTAAACAAGGTATTTAGATAAACTCCTCCACATTCCCTAGATATTTCCTCTATTGCTAGCAACTGAAAGTAAAGAGGATTAGGCTACTTTCAGCCAAATCATTTACTGGCCACTGGCTTTCCCAGAAGGTTTGTGTCTATTTCCTAAAACTGTCTTTATAATTTTTCTAACCACTTTGTCTGATCCCCTATAGGTAGGGTTTCTTTTTCCCTGTGAAAGCCATCAGTTAAGGGGCTATGTCTAACTAGGAAATATAAATATAAAATAAATAAGTTTGTATTTCCAGTGGCAATGAAAAGATAAAGCAAATGCATAAAAGAGGTACAGTTAATATGATTTAGTGATTATGGAGTTTAAAAAGCTAGGGGAGAGAAAAAATCTCAGGTCATGCAAAAGTTTCCACATGGGGAATGCTCATGGGGAAGGAGTAGGAAATTGTCAGGTCAACAGAAAAGTGCAAAGAGTCATGGGACAGACCAACAGTTTTCTTTACATATAGAGTTCAATGAAACCCTCCTGTGGGATATTTTCAGTAGGTAATTGGATTACAAGTATTTCTAGCTGGAGATAGAACTCTGGTTGAAGATGTAGGCTTGGAATAATTTCATTATAATTATTAGGCAAAGCCACAGATCTCAATGAGCTTATCCATGATGCAGAAGATGTAGAATAGGAAGAAAGCCATTGACAAAATCCTGGGAGTATCAACATTTCACAGAGTCACAGGACTTGGTAATGGAGACTGAGCAGTGGCTAATGAAAAGTAGGAGAGGAGTCAGAGAAAATGATGTTGCTAATTTCTTTTAAGTGTGAGAATTTCAAGCAGTAAGATTATAACTGAAAAGTCAATTGGATTTAACTTACAAGTTCTGCAGTGGCAGTCTGTTCGAAATAATTATTTTAGAGTTGTTAGGTATACTGTTAATGTTGTTAATATTTCTGGTGTCCAAGAAGAAATCTCCCAAGATCCTACCTAAGTTTTTGCAACTAAAGCAGGATACATACACAGGGTCTGGGAAACTGTCTAGACTGGGGAGTACACGTGCCAGCGTTTTTCCAGAATTGTCAAAACCTAAGGGTCATGTGTGAGGAAAAGTGTTGTCTTTTTTATCTGCTTCTTGTGGAGAGTGGAGATCTGTATTGTTTTTTTCTCTCTCTCTCATTCTCTCTCTCTCTCTCTCTCACACACACACACACACACACACACACACGCACAAGTATGGTAAGATGATCTTCGGTGTCCATGGATTACTCAATATCCATGGTATTTTCTAAGACACCCATTGAATGTCTGAAACTGTGGATAGTATGGAACCCTATACATCCGTGCTTTTTTTTTTCTATATGTGCATATTTATGATAAAGTTTAATTCATAAATTAGGCACAGTGAGAGATTAACAATAACTCATAATAAAATAAAACAATAACAATATATTGTAATCAAAGTTAGGTGAATATGGTCTCTCAAAGTGTCTTGTATTGTACTCACCCTTCTTTTTCATGTGATGACTGTGAGATGTTATAATGCCTATGTGATGAGATGAAGTCAGGTGAAGGAGTTATGTGGTGTTAGGCTACTATTAATTTCTGGCTATCTGACTACATAGAAATAAGTGGATCATCTGCTTCATGTGATGGTGGATCATTGAGCCATGATAATGTTGATGGTTGGGATTCAGGAACAGATCATTTTGATGACTAATGGGCAGATAGCATATACAAGAAATGATTCATGACCTGGTGAGATGGAACAGGATGTCTTAATATTTCATCATACTCCTTAGAATGACATGTTATTTAGGACTTATGATTTGTATATTTCTGGAATTCCCCATTTAATATTTTTGGACTATGGTTGACCATGAGTAACTGAAATCACAGAAATCAAAGAGACCCAGATTTGCAACTGGTGTGTGAGGGCAGTCTCATGAGACTGAGCCCTCAGTCTGTGAGATCTGAGACTATTTCTAGATAGACAGTGTTGGAATTAAATAGAGGACAACCAGCTGTCTTTTGCTACAGAATTAATGGCTTATTTGTCGGTGGAGAAAATCCTCCACACATTTGGTCACAGATGTCTTCTGTTTTAATGATTGTGGTGTGAGAGCAGAGGGAAATCATGTTGTGTGTGTTTCTTTCTACACTTAGAGCAAATAGGAGAGACTACTGTATACTCTGTTCAAACTGCTTCTAGTTCATTTGTCTAGGAATTATACTTTCTAAGGTTGACACTGTCCACTTATACTAATTCTGCTAATAATACAGTTTTCTGTCAGTCTTATAGGGTTCTGTTTGGATTACAACTATTGTACACTGTAGTTCACTTGCAGAGATCAAATTGTGATAAATTCTATTTTTCCTTGCATTTGAGAACTATAAAGGAAGGGAAAAAAACATTTTTAATGCATTAATTTTCTACCAATAGTATACTTCATAATAATTTTACTATAGTCTCAATGTATGGTCCCAAAGGAATGCTTTATAACAAATCATCTGAGTCTTTGTAACAAAGCGTCAGAGTATTATGTTTTTTAAACCAAGACCTGAATCATGCACGAAAGTGTGCATTATTCTTTTAAATTAAGTTGAAGTCTCGCGATGTCTCCCAGGCTGCTTTCAGACTCCTGGGCTCCTCAGATGATCCTCCTGCCTCACCTTCCCAAGTAGCTGGGATTACAGGCATGTGCCATCATGCCCTCTTATGTTTTTAACATTCTGTATTTTTATTTATATTTGTTGATTTAATATATTTTACTTTTTTTTTCTTTAATAGTGGATGTGAGTTCTGTAGAGCCTATATCCAGGTAAGACTTTGCAGTTTTTTTAAATACATATGTTAACTGAGAGAATATAGAGAAAAGAAATCACTATCTACTGAGTATTCTACTCTGGGTTAGACAACATATTATGTGCTTAATATTTACCATCTCACATAGTCATCACACAGCTTTGCAAAGCATCTGTGCTACTATCACCTACTTTGTATTAATCAGGCAAATGTGGTTCAGAGAGGTTGATTAATTGACCTACGATTTCATAGCTAAAAGGTAGCTGACCCTTGAGTTTGCCATCTGCTTTCCTTGCTCCCAAATCCCTTCTCTTCCCCCTCAGCATAGATTGATGGATACCTGTGGATCCATCAATCAAGGCACAGGTCTAGATGGGATCAGTTCAAAAGGTTACATTTTGTTATATGTTAACTCTTTTTAGAGATTTCCCTTAGAACGCTGGTTAATCCAAGACTTTGTTATAACATGTTTAACAGTTAAAGTGATAACCAGTTCCTTGTTTTTATCATCAAAGTTTTTAGAGCAGATCTTACTTAGCTGTGACCACAAGGCATAGGTTTTTATTTCATAAGGAAGACCAGGTAAATCCTATAGATGAATTATTTTACTTTTAGTGGAGAATATCTATATATAGATATATTATGTTAATAATATTTGGAGGCTATATCTTATAGAATTCTCTATTTACTGACTTCTTAGTTTAGTTTTTCTTCAAAGCAGTACCCTGCCTAGTTGCAGGCACTCTTCATTTTTTTTCTAGAGTCTTTTCTCTTCTTCCATGACTTATTTATAATCTTTTCCTGATTACTTTCTTCTCTCATTTCCTTGGTGTTCTTTTCTTCTGTAATTTTTTTCCTTTCTGCCAGTCCCATTTTTCTATAGCTAAAATTAAAGCACATGGAATTTTAGGATTTTAAAGACTCTTGGAGACTAATCAAAATACTTTCAATGTAAACCTGTATTTAATATCCTGGAAAAATGGTTGTTCAGATGGAGAATCTGAAACTCAAAGTGACTTATTTAAATATACGAGGTATCAGAAGTAATATTTAAACTCATTTCAAAGCCCATTACTCTTGTTTTTATATCATCATGTACGTGAGTGTTTGAATAATAGATAGGAAAGGGAATGGATCTAATTAAACAAATGGAAAATGATAAGAATGGAATTAGCTGGAGAACCCAGTAGAAGTAGGTAAGAATGGAATTATCAGGGAAAGGCCAAATTTGAAGTGAAACAATCCCAGGATTGGTAGGAGTAAGGGTTTTACCAAAGAGATCGGAATATTGGATCTTATGACAAGTTTGGTGAAGACAAATTAGAGGAACAAAGACACAGATGACATTGGGAGTTATGTAGAAAGGCATACTAAAATAGGGTTCAAAAGAAGTCCTGAATAGTTTGCTGCTTTTTTGCTTGTTTAATTGGAGGAATGGACAAACTTCAAGCTTTTTACTGAAAGATTTAAAAAAAAAAAAAAAAAAGCCACTGGGAAAAGTCTCCACAATCAGATAGAAATGTCCTATTCTGTTCTTTCACCCCAAATTTCACAGGAGTGGCTTAAAGCCCCTCGAGTGCTAGGGGATTGAAGGTTGCTGAATTACATAGATCTGTGGCTCAAGGCAGGTGTCCCCTCCCCTTTGACTCTTTTTCCAGGCCTCTGATGTGCTACTCATGTACATGTAAAGCAGGGGTAAGATTGGCTGTCAAATAAGTCATGGAGCTTCAGCTGGGTTTTTGGTAACATGCTTACGCTGGAGGTGAATGACTGACTGAGACTCCATTTAGTTGTTTTTCAGGAACCGGTAAATACAGAGCTTCTTGGTTGGTCATTGAGTTTATCTTTTCAGTAATCTGTGCCTTGATGAGCAGAATATTTAAAGGTTGGAGACTGCCATGAAGTCCTGCAGAAGAAAGATCTGGAAGTGGGAGAAATTTTCACTGTATATAGTGACTTCCACTTCCAGATCTTTCTCTCTGTGTACATATAGTACTTAGAGAAATCCAACTATCAGGACTCAGTTTTTCTAGCAGACTCTCTCCTTGGGTATAAGTACCTACGAAGATTTTTAAGGCTTTGCTAGTTTATGTAGACCTGAACAGGGAAGGACAAGTATAAAATAAGTAGTTCGATTTTATTATTTTTAATGTTTAAATTTTTGTGAGAAAAATATTCCCAATAACAAATATACATTTGTAATTTGACATTTGTAGGTTCAACTTTTCAACATTTCAAATATTTCAGGGGACTCTCTGTAGTGTTTTAGGGTGAAGGGAATCTACAGGGCCTTTTTTTTTTTTTTTTTTTTTGAGCCTTTTTTTAAAAGGCTCTGTCGGGCCTTTTAAAGTGGTTTTTATGCTTAAAAACAAAGAATGTCATTTTCCAGTGACACAGATTAGTCTTTGAATCAGAGATAGACAATGGATAAGGGACAAGGTAACTGTATCTTTCTTCCTCATTTTAGGTTATCAAGTTTGTTCCAGTTTAGATATCAAAAGTTAAGTCAGTCATTAAGTATATTTTCAGTTCATCATAGAGGACAGTTCGTGAGGACGAATTAGACTCAGGGTATGCCAATTATATTGGCAGTCACTATTTTTTGTAAAACTAAGAGTGAGTGTTCATTGAATGTTATAGGTTAGGGAGGTAGAGTCAAAAATAGGTAAATAAAATCTTATTTAAAAACAGAGAGAATATTTTAATTATACCGAGAAACATGATTTAATATATCGAGGACTGATCTTTCCCCAGATTTTGTTTTTTGTTCTCATTGTTTGGAGTGAGCACTAAGATATGAACTAGCAGATTTCCTTTTTAAATATATGAGTTTGCTCATTTTTATTGTATCTTTTTTCTCTAGTCTTTTTGGCAAAATGACTACTGAAAATTCACAGTCTCCAAAAGTTGAGGAAGACTTTAATCTTGCTACCAAGGTAAAATAGTCTCTTGTTAAGTTGATTTTCTCAGTTGGAATCTAGTTCTGTATAGTATTTACCTTTCATGTTTAACAGTGGTGTATCATTATTTCATGTTGATAATATAAAGTTGGTCAGATGAAAACATTTTATAGAAATATGAGTAGTTGATTTAAACAGTTTTTTTTTTGTTTTTTTGTTTTTTTGTTTTTTTTTACTTCAGTAAATAACAAATGATTGGTAAACACTTTCAGGGTGTGAGGGCCAAAAAATGGAATGGACTGGAAAATGCACAGTGACAGGAACGTTATGTTAGAAAAAACTTTTCCACAATAGAGAATATATAAAATCTGGTAAAGGTTTATTTGCATAAGTAAACTTACTGTGACTTTTAAAATTATTCTATTGTAACTTAAAAGAAAAACCCTCATGCTTAAATTTATCTTTAATGGATCCAGTTACTTACTATAGTAATCAAAGAATCTCTCTGATAAAGTTCAGTTCCGAAGCTGTGCCACATAGCATATAGGTTTTTTTGGCAGATATTAGTTTGATTTCATGTAGTTTTTAGGAGAGAGCTTTTTCTCAGTTTCTCTTCCTGGTTCTTTAGTAAGACCAAAATAATATTAGAAATTGTGAAAATTTATTTGGGCATAGTGGTGCATGCCTGTGGTTCCAGCTACCAAGGAGGCTGATGCAGGAGGATTCCTTGAACCCAAGAGTTTGAGACCAGTGTGGGCAACATAGCGAGACCTTATCTCTAATTTTAAAAATCGTGGTAGAAACTTAGAAATGTAAATTCTCTTTCTCAGAATCTGTATTATTAAGGCATGCCAGTGTGTTTTCTAAGTTATTTCATTAAAAGTATACTTTAAATTCTTCAACTAAATGAAGAATGCAGGTTTTACCCCAAGTAAATGACCAATTCTGGAGCAGAGACTCTTAATAAGCATATGGTAAGATTTTAATTTCAGAGTATTTAAACTGCAGTTTTTAAATATATTGTTCAAAGATCTTTGATCCCATTTGAAAATTTTAAATTTCAGAAGATTTTGTATTTAGGTATTTAAATAATCATTTTGAAGCTCTTGCATCACTATGAGATACTGCAGGTTAGAAAACACTTGTGTGCATCCTAGTGTACCCAGAATACAGTCTTGCCTGTAAAAAGCATTTTAAGAGGTTTTCATTGTGAATAAATAAGCAGACAAATGAATTTTTATGTAATGGAATATTATAAGTAAGATAATATGCATAATATATCTTATAATTAGATCTAATGCGTTTCTGAAATATGACTTAAATTTACATTTTAGTATTTAGAATGCATAAATTCACATGCATTGTCTTGAGAAAATATGTCTTAAATAAGAAGAACAATAAATCAGAGATATGTAGTAAATAGGAAAGAAGTTTACACTATGTTTTCTAGTATCTTCCAATGGAGTTTAGATTTTAAAAGTTTTAATATATTTTAGTCTCAATTCATGGTTTTGTTTGTTTGTTTGTTTGAGATGGAGTCTTGCTCTGTCATGCAGGCTGGAGTGCAGTGGCGCAATCTCGACTTACTGCAACCTTCACCTTCTTGGTTCAAGCAGTTCTCCTACCTCAGCCTCCCGTGTAGCTGGGACAGCAGGCACATGGCACCATGCCTAGCTAATTTTTGTATTTTTAGTAGAGACAGGGTGATGGTCTTGATCTCTTGACCTCATGATCCAATCTCCTCGGCCTCCCAAAGTCCTGGGATTACAGGTGTGAACCACCGCTCCCAGCCGAAACTCATGTTCTATTAAGAATATCTTTTCAAGGAGTACATTATTCTAAAATTCTGATTACCAATACTTTCTTCAGGTGAAAAGTTTATGAAATATTCCTTTTTAAATTTTTTCTCTCTCTGTAGTAAGAATGTTCTCGCTTTTAAGTATTGGCTGAAGATCATGTTTAACTAATTGTCTTATTATATAATATTAAAATTAAAATCTTTCTTACACAAATATTAACAAAATAACTAATTGTAGTGTAAATACCGATCAGTAATATTATTAACAAAAGTATGTATTTTGTGTATTTCATCACATGTCTTACATAGTAGCTGTTTTTCCTTTTCTTTCATGACTGAAGCTCATACTTGATTGACTGATCATGTCTCTTGTTTGTTTCTCCCTCCTCCGTCACCTTTTTAAAAATGATTTACCGCAGACATTTTTCTCACAGAATACATTTCTTCACTGTCTGCTTTTGAGGGCATCTCTGTCTCAATTCTTAGCATATTTATTTACAAGTTTCTATTTAGTTGCTATGTATGATTTTCATTAATCAATCACGCCCCCCCACCCATGATTTATTCTTTTTTTCTCTGTTTCGTGGAAGAATCAGAATTTATACAATTATTTATACTTAGCATTTTGCCACACGGAATAGGAACAACCTATACCACTTCAATGCAAACTCAGTTAAATAAGGTACTATTAAAAACTAAACTCTCACATTTTTCCACACAAGAGGTAATTAATACAACTGTAAATTGTGAAGAGATATTTCAAAATATAATGTGTAATTTTTAAATTTTAATTCTATAATACTACAAACTGTGTAAGAGTACGTTTTTGTCCTAGATTATTTTGGTTAAAAAATAATCTAATGGATACCACCATGTTTGTATAATAATAAATTAGATGAAGGGGATGATAGGAATTAATTGGTTGAAGAAGGGTAAGATAAACATAGAGATTACATGAGACAGGATGAGACAGATTCTTATAAAAACACAGCAAAAATTGTGGATTAAATGAGAGCAGGAACTCTCTAGAATAAAAGATAGGATATAAATTATTTAAAATAAAAATTAAGAAAACATTGCCAGCTAATAAAATATAGTTCAGGTGTCCTTGAGTGACTTATAGCAGATTTTAACAAAAAGCCGACAGAAAATATAAGGACGAGTATAGGTAAGAGCAATTTGTTGTACACTTTGAAATACCTAGCAGGGAATAATTTGAATGTTTCTAACATAAAAGAAAAATAAATACTTAAGGTGATTAATATCTCAATTATTCTGATTTGATTATGCGAATGTATTAAATGATATCATACACCCACAAAACAAGTACATTTATAGTGTGTCGACAAAAAAATTATAAACAAGGAACAAAAGTTTAATTTTTACTTCTTTTAGTAACTTTATGTTTTATATTTAATCTAGTCATACTTACAATAATGCAGAATGCAAAGTGAAATCTGTTTTAGGCCTAGTTAGCTTTATTGTGAATTATTACTTTTTGATTCTTTAGCTTCTGGTTTTAAGATTTCTAACTTAATATTTGACGTATTCTTAGATTATTTAACTAATTTATCTTACTCTTTGATATAACCTTGGTAGCTGTTTTGAATATTTTTGATAATAGATTATAAATAAATAAGCATTTTATTTAAGCTTGTTATTAAAATTAAATTTTCTGATCATATGAACAAGGGTCTTAATCTGTATATCTTAAAAGAGAAAAATCACTTTTAAGCTACAAAACTCTCAACGAAATAAATGTAGAAATTATTAATCTCTAGGAATATTCTGACATCTTTTGCTCATAATATCTGTATGTAATGGTATTATATGCACACATCAACTGAATGTAATAAATATTTGTGAATTTTTTTAAAGTAAAGTACATATTATAAAATGATATGTAAGGGAAGATTGTTAACATAGTAAACAAACTTATCATTGGAAGAATACTTTTTACTCTTAAAAATATCTCTTGCAATGGGGATATTTTATATTCTTTCCAGGAAGCTTTATTAACTTTAGTCTTCATAACTATTACACCTTGCACATATATTTGTTTGTTTCTAAAACTCAGGAATCCTGTCGACTTGAATTTTTTTAGTTTCTTTCTTCACTTCTCCTGTGAATACTGAATCCTGCTTGACAATCATAGATACATGTAAAAACTATGAAATCTTCAACTTGAATAATTATTGCTTAATGTTCTTTATATAAGATATTTCTTCCAATTTTAAACTACCATCTTATATGGTGTCAATAGGCAATTTGACTGAATATTATATTGTTTACAGGAACATAAGAAAAGCATGTGATTTTAAACCAGGGTTTCACATTTCTATCTCACTTTATAGTAGTACTTAAAAATGCCTCATAATTCTATGGGTAAGTATTTCTCTTGTACAGTTAGAAATAATACCACACATCTACAGCCATCTGATCTTTGACAAACCTGAGAGAAACAAGAAATGGGGAAAGGATTCCCTATTTAATAAATGGTGCTGGGAAAATTGGCTAGCTATAAGTAGAAAGCTGAAACTGGATCCTTTCCTTACTCCTTATACGAAAATTAATTCAAGATGGATTAGAGATTTAAATGTTAGACCTAATACCATAAAAACCCTAGAAGAAAACCTAGGTAGTACCATTCAGGACATAGGCATGGGCAAAGACTTCTTGTCTAAAAGACCAAAAGCAACGGCAGCAAAAGCCAAAATTGACAAATGGGATCCAATTAAACTAAAGAGCTTCTGCACAGCAAAAGAAACTACCATCAGAGTGAACAGGCAACCTTCAGAATGGGAGAACATTTTTGCAATCTTCTCATCTGACAAAGGGCTAATATCCAGAACCTGCAAAGAACTCAAACAAATTTACAAGAAAAAAAACAAACAACCCCATCAAAAAGAGGGCAAAAGATATGAACAGACATTTCTCAAAAGAAGACATTCATACAGCCAACAGACACATGAAAAAATGCTCATCATCACTGGCCATCAGAGAAATGCAAAACCACAATGAGATACCATCTCACACCAGTTAGAATGGCAATCATTAAAAAGTCAGGAAACAACAGGTGCTGGAGAGGATGTGGAGAAATAGGAACACTTTTACACTGTTGGTGGGACTGTAAACTAGTTCAACCATTGTGGAAAACAGTGTGGTGATTCCTCAAGGATCTAGAACTAGAAGTACCATATGACCCAGCCATCCCATTACTGGGGATATACCCAAAGGATTATAAATCATGCTGCTATAAAGGCACATGCACACGTATGTTTATTGTGGCACTATTCACAATAGCAAAGACTTGGAATCAACCCAAATGTCCAGCAGTGACAGACTGGATTAAGAAAATGTGGCACATATACACCATGGAATACTATGCAGCCATAAAAAAGGATGAGTTTGTGCCCTTTGTAGGGGCATGGATGCAGCTGGAAGCCATCATTCTTAGCAAACTATCACAAGAACAGAAAACCAAACACCGCATATTCTCACTCATAGGTGGGAACTGAACAATGAGATCACTTGGACTCGGGAAGGGGAACATCCCACACCGGGGCCTATCATGGGGAGGGGAGAGGGGGGAGGGATTGCATTGGGAGTTATACCTAATGTAAATGACGAGTTGATGGGTGCTGACGAGTTGATGGGTGCAGCACACCAACATGGCACAAGTATACATATGTAACAAACCTGCAAGTTATGCACAGGTACCCTAGAACTTAAAGTATAATAATAATAATTAATAAATAAAAATAAATAAAAAATAAAAAAACAAAAAAAATTGCAAGGTTTTTATAAAGGTCGTTTTGTAGAATCTTGTTTTAAAATTAAATGTTTTCATTCAATTCAAAGATGCATATTGCAATAATATTTCAGAAATATTTACCTATATAAATAAAATTATATTCTTGAAATAAATTTGAAAATATATAACTGAGAGATTTAAACCCATGTTTTTCTCTCTCCCTTTGATTTCATTTTCAAAATTTCAGCAGTCTGCATAGATCTGTGTTAATTCTACCCATTTAGTCTATCTTACAAATATTTATTTTCTCATCACTATGTAATTTTCCTCATGTAGGTAATCTACTCATACTCCAAATGTATTTATCCAGATATTTCTTCCAAGCTCCTTGGATGCCTAAAATCTTATAGGTCTCAAACTGAAAACATCATTTTTATTTTTTTCCTGACTTTTTTCTGACCCGTTGTAATCTACTCTGTCATCTGGTTTCCCCATCCTAGTAAATAACACCTAGGAAGTAGCCATGAAATGCCCCAGCACTTCAACTGGCACTTCAACTGTCCCCCACATCCTGCACTTCAACTCTCCTCCAGGTCACCAATCCAGTCACACACCAAATTTTGCATTATCTACCTTTTTAAATTTTCCATATCTTATTACCATAATTAACTCTCTACCTATAATTTTGAAGTACTCCTTTCTACTTTTGCCCCATCTCCCCATGTTCGTCTTTACACCGCTTGAAGGGTCACCTTTCTAAAATATATTTGTAATGATGTAACTCATCTGCATATTGAGTGGATACCCGTTACAGGAAGGGGTAATTTCACATTCTAGTGTGACATATATCGTATATGGTTTGGCCCCATTTTATCTCTTCAATTCATTTCCTCTGACTGTGTTCCAGTTTTACCACATAACTTTGGCATCCCTCAGTTGCCATGTTGTTTCATGCCTTATTATTTTGCACATGCTATTGCACCAAGAGTCTTTGTATCCTGACTCTGCACTTTGTCTGTCCTTCCAAATATGGCCCCATTATGGCAGCATTTTCTATGCTTTTCAGGTAAAACTGATTTTTCTCTCCTTTTTGCCCTTATGTATTTTAATGACTTAAATTGTAGAACTGGTGAAGTATACTTTTGTGTTCTTATTTGTTTTCACATATCTCTACCATTTCTTGAATATAGGCTAGAATCTATCTTCCATGGATATTTTCTGCTTCTCCCAGAATAGTGCCTATGATTTGATAGATACAATGTGTGTTTTTGTTGTTATTGTTTGTCTTACTGACAAATTGAGTGAGTGACTGAGTTAATAAACACAATTTTTTCTGAAGTTTTTATTGTTGTTGTTGTTGCTTTCTGTTTTTTGTTTGTAATAGGAGGGAGCAACAAAGACAGTAACTGGACAACAAAAATATATTATTGGCATTATTGAACAAGCTCCACAAGATCAAACAAGTAATGACAATTTTATTTTTTATACCAAAATAATAGAAGTGGTAATTTAGTGAATATCTCTGAAAATTTTTCTATGCTTAAATGCTATTATTTAGAAAACAATTTTATAGACTGAAATGCAATGTCTACTTAAAAAAATACTTTTTGCTATCTTTCTTCATACTATCAATTCTTTTTTCTGAACCTGCTTCAATTCTGAAACTCTATTTTTGCTATTACTTTTATTTTTGAAATACTTATAAATGAAAATAGATTTGCATATAATGATTTACAGTAATAAATGTTCTCATATATGTGAACTCATTTTCTCATGCTGTGAACACCATTTTGTAGATAAGATGCCCATATCTGAATTAGGACAAAAAGAAGATACAAAATCAACTTCAGTTCCTGAGGTACTGTGTGTTGTTGTTATTGTTGTTATTTTAAAACTTAACTAGTCTTAAAATATAAACAGATGATTTGACTTTATTCTGTCACCTCTGATTGTGTCCATAAGGCGGGCAGATCACGAGGTCAGAAAATCAAGACCATCCTGGCTAACATGGTGAAACCCCGTCTCTACTAAAAATACAAAAAAATTAGCCTGGCATGGTGGCGGGCAACTGTAGTCCCAGCTACTCAGGAGGCTGAGGCAGGAGAATGGTGTGAACCCAGGAGTTGGAGCTTGCAGTGAGCTCAGATCACACCACTGCACTCCCGCCTGGGCGACAGAGCGATACTCCATCTCAAAAAACAAACAAAGAAAAAAAGAAATTATTTTCAAACATTTATCAGAACATACTTTATAATCATGTGCCAAGTAGATAACAGCTGCATAGTGCAATTCTGCTAATTTGCAGGATTGATTTTGAAGCCAGTGTAGAATAGTGCGAAAGAAAATAAGGCTTAGAAGGCACTAGGCATCTCTTTGAGTTCTGAAGTTAAGTTTGTCTATAAACTAAATAATTCCTCTGCATTCATTTGTGGGCAAATATATGATTCTGTGTATATCTAGATGTACAAAAGCTCTAATTGGATTCAGGGAGAAAGAGTTTTAAACTATAGTCTTAGTCTTGCTCAACTTGGAACTTGAAAAGATAATGCCTGGGACTTGAAAGTATTGATATATTTTGATTATCCAGTATAGATCTGAAGGAACATTTCAGAAGTTGGATAAACATGATAAATAGGACACCTGTAAAACTATAATAACAACAATTTGTTTGAGTAGTATTTTAATAAGTAGACATTCTTTTCACAAATAGAACTCTTCAAGTCCCTTTGTGGCAGTGATGTTTGCAGCCACATAGATATCAAATAATAATGATGTATTCCAAGACCACAACTGTGGATATGGAAGAGATAGGAAAGGCTTCACCAGTTAGGTGGAAGCAGCAGCTGCATAGTGGTAACAGCAGTGAGTGGATGTCAAAGATAAGTCTGTATTTTGGTTCTGTCACTTATTAGCTATGGGAACTTGGAAAAAAATCGATTGACCTGATCAAATACCAGTAATTTTGTTTATAAAAACAGTGCTCATGTCTACCTCTTAGGTGCATGTCATGAAATAATGTTGTAACAAATGTGAAAACATTTTGTAAACTGAAAAGTCTGTATACAAATGTAAGACAAAATTATCAAAGTGGCATTTATCGTAAGCAGTATTGTTAGCACAAGAATGGGGAGTAAGAACAGGCATGTGGATTTCTAATTTTGGGTAAGGGGTTGGTAACTTTCAGCAGGCTACTACTGCAGATTTTCCATAGAAATATAGCGGTTTGGAAAGTTAGACTTCCCTGATGAGATTTTCAATGTGTTGACCTGGAGTAATTTCTTTGTGAGTATCAACTCTGTGCTAGGCAGTGAGTCTCTGAATATCCATGATGTGGGATTATGCTCTAGTAGTAGGAAGAGAATAACAAATAAAAAACACTTATAAGTCACTGTAACTTTTTCTTTAAAAACAAAACAGAGAATGTTTGGTTAGAGAAAATTGAAGAACTTTATAATTAGCACGGGTATGGGAGTGGCAGTGGAATTCTATGGTCAGAGTAGATCTTTCTGCGACTGCCATTTAATCTCCCATCTCAAAGATGAGGAGTATGCTATATGAAAGTCTAGGAGGAAGACATTCTGAACAGAGAGAACAGTGGACCGTATTTGTTCGTCATTTTGTTCTTAACAACCTAGAATGACTAGGAAGCAGAAAGTGGGGTAACCACCAACATCATCATCATCCTCATTATTCTAAGGTGAAGAAAAGTCTGCAAATATGTGCCTGGCACATGTTACATGTTTCACGAATACATGTTTTATTTTTCTCTTTTGATGAAGGCTTGCTCTACTTTTCTGAAGTTATGTCTTAAGAATGAATTGCATACTTTATCTAATGATTGTTTGCTTTCATTTAAAAATAACATAAATATAAGTTTTCTTTATGAATCTTTCCTTTTATTCAAGCAGTTCTTTATCAGCAAAAAAGTTTAAAATTTATTTTTATTATTTTAAGCCCTTGTTTTCTTAAATGAAACAGCTTTTACAGAGTTCTATTCCTACTTCACATAACACACTCTGAAAATTCTCTTCATGCCATGCATATTTTTTAACCAAAAAATCTGTAATTATGCATATGTCACATGTTTAATCGTGTTGTATTTTGTTTGAAATGTTCTATTATTTTTGGTGAGGATTACAGTGTAAGGCAGATACTTTGAAGTAAATTCCTTTTAAAATATGCACACGAATGAATTTTTTTGTGAATATGATTTATTTTCCTTGCTCAGTAACCTAGTCAATAGCCACATGAAAATAAAAGATAAGCATGATCTACAGAGAATATTTGAGGTTTTCATTTGAAATGTTTTGGTTTTCAGTATGTGAACAGCCTTAAATCTAATTGCTTTTAAAGTTAAAAAATGTGTTTTAAAAAAGATTTTTAATAAAAAATATGATGCTTGTCATTATTATTTTTAAATTGAAATTATTTATTGAGGCAGGCCATGATGTCTCTTGCCTGTAATCCCAGTATTTTGGGAGGGCGAGGTAGGCGGATCACTTGAAGTCAGGAGTCTGAGACCAGCCTAACCAACATGGTGAAACCCTGTCTCTATTACAAATACAAAAATTTAGCCAGGTGTGGTGGCTCATGTCTGTAGTCCCAGCTACGCGGGACGCTGAGGCAGGAGAATCACTTGGTCTTGGGAACCGGAGTTTGCAGTGAGCCGAGATCATGCCACTGGGCAACCCTGCGAGGCTTCATCTCAGAAAAATAAAATAAAAAAATAGTAAAAAATGAAATTATTTATTAATATTATCTTTAACAGATTATCTCTGTGAATGATACACAGAATTATGTGTGTTTACCTGAGGCTACATATTAAAAAGAAATAAAGACAATAAATGGCAAAATAGAAGGTAAGAACCATTTTTTATTTAAAACATCTTTTGACCAAATGTTTGTCTCAAAGCATGAGGACTGGTATGCTCTGACAACCAAAGAAAATTATTTTTTAAATGTGTAGCATGGAAGAACAAAAGGAGTGAAAGTTATATGTCATCTCAGGTGTTGGCAACAGATTATACTGAGAGTATCAACAAAATAGCTGAATCATTAGTTTAAATTCAGTATACTCTAAGACCTGATGAAAGGAGTAAAAGAGGGAATGAAGACTGAGGAAGACAGAGAGTACAGGGAGTACATGAGGGAACAAGAAGCAGGTTTACATAATGGAGAATGGTAAAATAAAATAATTCTTGAAAGAAAGATAGAGCATGGTTAGAAAGCTGGAAAGAATATAAAGTGACCTTCCATTACCAAAATCTGCTGGAGAATTACAGCAAACATGTTGTCACTCTTGTCTTTCTTACTGGAGGGAAGGCATTAGGGATGGAAGCACCTGACCATGGAGAGTTGTGTTTTATCAGCAATATGTGAATATAAGTATATTTGCACAGCCATGCATGTATATAATTTGTCATATATACTCAGTATAGATCAGAAGTTTTCACACTTTGGAAAATCAGCTGAATACCTTGTTAACAATGCACGCGGACTTTGGATTCTGGCATTTTTAATAAGTTCTCAAGTGATGCTGTTGCTGGTGGTCCTTGGACCTCACTCTTAAGTAGCAAGGGAACAGCCTTTCCTTTGGAAAAATCTGGAAGAAGTGCAGTTGGATAGAAGGTCAAGACATAACAGGGTCAAAGGAAAGCGTTATATTGCTTTTATTTCTGAGTATGTTTCTGGCCATAGGGGAAAAAAGAGGTAAAGAAATAGTAATTTCAGATGGCAGATACTACCCTAATCAAAGAGAAAGAAAGTGTCGGGAAAATTGATTTTAAAAGATGTTGAATGGGAATAATCAAGACCACAGATGTGGACTAAGAAATTTTGGCTAAGAAAGAGGGATTGCGAGACATGAAATGGGGCAAGAAAGAAGATAGCCAGGCAACTTTGGAGTTTCTGAAAAGGAAATTTGAGTGAATTCACTTCAGATGCATTTACAATATTTGCACTCCAGCAGATTAGATTGTGGGTACTCCAGAGACTACCGGAAGTGGGAGGATTACTAGAATTGGAGTAAACTATGGTGACTCATTAGCTTTCTCTATTGCTATCAGGCATAAAATGTTTATTTTTTGTTGATATTAGCTATTCAAATGAGAGATATTTGAATCTAAGAGCATTGGCTTTATTTTTAATGAAGCAAATTGTTTTGGTAAAATTGTTATTCTATAAAAATCTATTAGACACTTACCATAATAAACAAAGCAGACTAATTTTTAGAAACAAATTACTGAATTTATTACTTGAATTCTAAAATTGTTTTCTAAGTAAATATTTTCCTGATTTAAACATATAAAATGTTATTTATATGTAATAACTATGTTATCATAAATTTTCAAATAAACGTCAACATTGAAAGCAATATTTTTAATGAATTTTGTATATATATTTTGCATGAGTGAATCAAGAAAATTTCTGAGGATAAGCTAGAGGATACAGAAGCAAGAAAATTTCTGAGGATAAACTAGAGGCATATGATTACACTGCATGGATATGGAAAACAATGAATATTTTATTTAGTATTATCCCCTAAGTAAATATCCAAGCTGATCAATTTGTTACACGTTCAGTGATGAGATGTCAGTTATGCATTCTGCTGAACTCTCATCATAATGGTGTACCGTCTCAATTGTACGACAAATTAAAGAACATGATGAATGTAATGATATAAATTATTCCAATGTATTTCATTAAATATATGGTGTAGGATTCTATATTCAGCTTTGACATTTATTTTTTCAGGGTCATGATTTGCTCCTCTGATCAAAGGTCATTTCTCTTTTCATCCCTCAGCATATGCGTATTAATATCAACACATTTTGCATGCACAGCACATTCTCACTTTTGAAATATTAAGTGCACGTTTGTTGAAGCCTAGATTCCTAGTTTCTTCAGTGTATTTCTGTCATGTGAGTGTCCTAAAGAAACAAACCAAAAGAAAAGCCCTAAACCTAAAGGAATCATTCTCAAAGCTGAGTACGAGGACTTAGTTAGATACTATCACTGGATTCATTTGTGGTTGGTTTTGTCATATTTACCTATGACTGATAATAAATCTCTTTTGCTTTTTTAGAGTCTCCTGAAAAGTCTTCTGACTTTGAGGTATTGAGTTTTATAATTTTATCTTGAATCATTTATTAACCACATATTTTGTGAAGTATACATTCATTATTAATAATTTTTCTTCCAAACCCATTTAGCCTGCCACTGAAATGCAAAACTCTGTCCCAAATAAAGGCTTAGAATGGAAGAATAAACAAACATTGAGAGCAGGTAAATTTTACAGTTCAAGTATATTAAAATGAATATTTCAATAGTTGATATATTAATAGTCTCATCTCCCCAATGTTTATTTTTCAAATATTGTGGAAATATTTGAGGTAATAATGTCAATAATGGTATCCACATTTGAAAAACTGATTACTTATAAGAACACGAATTTTAATTAGTTTTTGTAAAAGGTAGCTTTAATTTCAGGTGTTTCTACTTTTATGTCCTGATACTGTAATGTTTTGTATTGGGAATGTCCGTATGACTTAAAGATTCAAAAGGGTGAATTTTTAAACTCTAATATTTTTTCTGTTCAAAAATTGATTCAAATTCTACCCTTCACTGCAGGGAAAACTTCACTTTTGACATGCCAACTATGTTTTAACATTGGTTACCTCATGGGAATGTAGTCATTTGAAGCATCCTAAGGAAATCAGTTATTCTGATTAGCTTACTCTGTGTGTGTGTGTGTGTGTGTGTTTGTGGTGTGCACGTTTGTGCCTATGTGCATGTGTATGTGTGTTTGTGTGTGGTACCCTTAATTTTTAAAAAATGGGAGATGTCAGTCCCAGCTACTCAGGAGGCTGAGGCAGAAGAATGGCGTGAACCCGGGAGGTAGAGCTTGCAATGAGCCAAGATCACGCCACTGCACTCCAGCCTGGGCGACAGAGTGAGACTCCGTCTCAAAAAAATAAAAATAAAAAAAAAATAAATAATAATAATTAATGGGAGAAGTAATCGTTTCCTCATGATTATTTTTGTAAAACTGTGATTCTGAAGCATTTGGCTTTAGTGTTTTTTCATTGTTTAGAGGTAAACAATTGTCTAAACTAGTTTCTTAAAAATTATTTTTCCTATGCATGCTTAAACATTACACAACATATGTGCACGGTCATAGATAATGTGTAGAATTTGTTTTCAACTTCTAATATGTAAATAATTGTACATTGTGTGTAATTTTCTGTAACGTTCTTTGATCAGCATTGTATTGTTAGATCCATCCATAAGGGCAGAATTAGCTCTGGTTTTGTTTATATTAGGTTCTTTGTAGAATTCCATTATATAACTGCACCACGACTAATTAAAGCTTGTTTATGCAAAAAACAAATACATGAAAATAAAAACAAATACAGATTTCAGTCTTCATTTAAGTTGGTTTTCTCTACTGATTTTTGATATATTAGAAACTAAAACTAAAATATTTCAAGTATCGCTATGCACAATCATCTACTTTAATAAAAATGAAAACTGTGACCTATGGACCATTAAAGCTATGTTTACTAATGTGTAGGCATTGATTTAATTTTTTTATGGAAATGTTAGGTTACTTAAAGCAATTATTTTTATATAGATTTCTAATGTTTCTCTAAGGCATCACAAGGTGATTCTGAAGATATTGATTTAAGACTGTCTCAAAATATTTAAAGCAGTTTTTAAATTTAATATGTATGCAATAAAAGTTTTTTAACCTTTTTTATTACACATACACAACATATACTGTCATGCATGTTGAAACTTAAAATTGTTAGACAAAGTTTGTTAACATAAAAAAATTTTGTATTTCTCAAGAGTCTTATTTATTGATAATTTCATTTGAATAACTAATTGAGATTGCTGAGTCAATCAAACTAAGTATTGCTAAAAAATAGAAAAAATGAAAGATAACATATACTTAAAGTTATCTCATTAAATTTCAAGCACAAAAAATACTGTTTCTGGGAAGAAGAACACATTACTGCCTTTTTGAAGAAATAATTTGTACAAGTTAGCCAAATTTCTATTTTTTTTATTCTAATGAATAAAAAGTTCACTTTTAAATATTTTAGTTTGCTATTCTATTAGATTGACCATAAAAGTGGCGGGAATAATCTGAAAAAAGTATGTACAGGTTGAGTAAGAAAGACCACAGATTCATGAAAAAATAGATTTGTATACTTTTAATATATATCATAATAAATGTTCTCATGAATATATCTATGGTTGATATTTTATAGATAATATGTTCACATTAAAATCAGTACAAGAAACATATGCAGAATCACATTGGAGTTCTGAGGTATTGTGTAATTTTGTTTTCATTATTTAAATACAAATATTGATTGATGTTGAAACTTTAGAGACTGACTTTATTGTCTTACCTCTGCATATTGCCCTTCAGCAATTTCTGATATTTTTCAGAACATACTAAACAGTTATTATTTGCTAAGTAGATTATTGCTTCATAGTGCAATTCCACTTATTTTCAGGATTAAATTTAGAAGATACTGTAGTATAGTGTAAAAATATGGCTTAGAAATTCTAGGAGTTTATTTGGATTCTGAATCTACCTTTGTCTAAAAACTGAGGAATTTCAGTTCAGGGGTCCTGAAATGAAATTCCTCAGTTTTTACCTGTAGGCAAATTTATGGTTCTCTGGTATATCTGGATTCAGAGGAAAAAGGTAAAACTTGTTTTGCATACCTTGGAACTTGAGAAGATAATGCTTGGGACTTGAAAGTATTGATATATTTGGATTGTACAGCGTAGAGCTTAAGGAATATTTTAGGCAAAGGAAGAGCAAGAAAAATAGGAAACCTGAGAAACTATAATAAAAACAATTTGGTTGAATAGTTTTTTAAAGAATAAACATCATTTTCACAAAGAGAACTCTTTGAGTTCTTTTGTGGCAGCCATGCTTTCAACCACATAAATATCTGTATTCTGAGATCACAGCTATGTAAAGAGATGGAAAGGGCCTCGCTGGTTGTTAGAAGTAGCTGCTTTATAGTAGTAACAATCATGAGTAGAAGTCAAAAAACCAGTCAGTATTCTGGTTCTGTTACTTACTAGTTATGTAACCTTGGAGAAAATTATTTTGTGTATTCAAATGTCAGTGGCCTTGTTCGTTGAATTAGTGCTAATATCTACCTCTTAGTTATTTTTAATTGAGCAATATTATAATAAAAGTAAAAATATTTTGTAAACTGAAAAATGTGTATACAAATGTAAGATAATGATGACAGTGGTATTCAGTGACGTAATAAATATTGAGGGTACTTTTTTTAAACGTGATGGCAGTATTGTCAGAAAAATATTGGGGAAATAACAACAGACATGTGGATTTCTAGTCTAGTGTAAGGGTATATTAAGTATCAGCAGGCTACTACTACTGTTTTCTAAACTTGCTAGGAATTTAGCAAGTTAGACCTCTCTGATGAGATTTTAAATGCTTTGACTATTAGTAATGTCCTTACTGAATAGCAAAAGTGTGCTAAACAGTGAGACCTGAACACACAGGATGAGGACTTTTGTTAAAGTGGTAGGAATAGGAAAAAAGTTACCAACACCCTTAGGTAAATATAAGTGATCTCTATGTAAAGACAGGTAGTGTTAGGTTAGAGAAAATTGAAGAAGTTTGCAGTTAGGATGGGAATGGGAGTGGCAGTCAAATTCTGTAGTCAGAGATTTCTTTGAGACTGCCAGTCAAGCTCCCATAACAAGCATGAGAGGTAGGATGATGTGTAAAAGTATAGGTGAAAGACATTTGGAGTGGAGAAAACAACAGATCACATTTGTTTATAATTTTTCTGTTAACATCCTGGAAAGACTAAGAAGCAGAAAGTGGGGTAAACATCATCATCATCATTTTCATTATTGTAAGGTGTAGAAAAGTTTTCAAATGTGTTCCTGGCATATAGTAAATAAATGCTTTATGAATAAACATTCCTATATTTTTATGAAGGGCTTGCTATACTTTTCTGAAATTATGTCTTAATTGAGATCAAGTTACATACTTTATCTAATATTGGTTTCCTTTCATTTAAACATAATAGAATATGTTTCTTCTTTTAAGTTTCATTCATGTATTTCTTCTGTAATCAAAAATTTCTCAAAAATATTTGATTATTTCAAATTCTTGTCTACCTAAATAAAGACGCTTCTACAATATTCTGTCTCATACTCTGAAGGTTCTCTTCCTTTCAAGTGTCTTATTTTAACCCTGAACAATGAGAATGAGATCACTTGGACTTGGGAAGGGGAGCATCACACACCGGGGCCTATTATGGGGAGGGGGGAGGGGGGAGGGGGGAGGAATTGCATTGGGAGTTATACCTGATGTAAAGGACGAGTTGATGGGTGCTGATGAATTGATGGGTGCAGCACACCAACATGGCACAAGTATACATACGTAACAAACCTGCACATTATGCACATGTATCCTAAAACTTAAAGTATAATAATAAAAAAAAAAGAAGTAGAAAGACATGTGACCTATAATCAAGAAAAAAGCATACAATGCAAGCAGACTCAATATTGCATGAAAAAAAAATTTATAATTGTGAGTATTTTTAACGTTTAATGTTGTCAATGTTATATAGCAAGAAGCAGGTGATTGTCTTTTGTTTTAAATGCCCTCTCATGTTTCTTGGGGACTACAAAGTAGAGTTAGATATTTTAAAGGTAATTTCCTCTGGAAACATGCACATGAGTGAATATATTTTCTGTGGATATGTTTTTTTTTTTTTTTTTGGATTTTCATGCTTGGTAACGGTTTCAATAGCTAAATGAAGATGAAAATAAGCTTGATTTAGAGAGCATATGTGAAGTCCTTTATATAAATGCTTTGGTTTTCAATAGGTTTCTATCCTTAAATCAAATTGCCTTTAATAGGAAACTGAGTATTTTTTGAAATATGTTAGTTAGGAAATCTTGATGTCACTCATTATTTTTATTATTTTTAAATTGCAATTCATTATTGATAGAACTTTGAACAGAATATTTCTGAAAGTGCTGCGCAGAATTACACGTGTTTACCTGAGGCTACATATCAAGAAGAAACCAAAAGAATAAATGGAAAACTAAAGGGTAAGAGTCATTTTTTATTTATAAGTCATTAGACAGTATGTTTATCTAAAGATTTGAGGACTGATATATTGTAATAGCCTAAGAACATTATCACTAAATGCACAGTATAAAAAATGTGAATTAAAATGGTAATAAGTTACATATCTTGTCAGGTGTCAGCAACAGAATTTATTGATGGTGCCAGAAAAGGAACTGAATTATTACTTTAAATTCAAGGTATTCTAAAACCTGAGGTACCTCAGGAAATAAGAGGAAAGATGTAAAAGAGGGAATAAAGAATGAGGAAGACAGAAAGTACAGGGAGGAAATGAGGGAAAAAGAAACAGGTGTATATAAGGGAGGTTGATAAAATAATTCTGTAGATAGAGGAAGAGTAGGGTTAGAAAGGTGTGAAGAACATATAGTGAGCTTCCAGTATAAAAACTACTAAAAGAATTACAGTAAAAATTTTCCACGCGAGCTGAAAACCGTGGCACGAGAACTGCATGACATATGCACAAGCTTCAGTAGCCGATTCGATCAAGTGGAAAAAAGGGTGAGTATCACTATCCGTCTTTATATAGAGATCACTTACATTGACTTATAAGTGTTAACTTTTTTTCTGTTTCTACCACTGTAACATAAGTCCTCATCCAGTGTGTTCAGGTCTCAGGGCTTAGCACACTTTTTGCTGTTCTGTAATAATGTTACTAATAGTCAAAGCATTTAAAATCTCATCAGAGAGGTCTAACTTGATCAAGTAGAAGAATGAAATGAAGCAAGAAGAGAAGTTTAGAGAAAAAAGAGGAAAAAGAAATGAACAAAGCCTCCAAGAAATATGGGACTATGTGAAAAGACCAAATCTACGTTTGATTAGTTTATCTGAAAGTGATGGGAAGAATGGAACCAAGTTGGAAAACACACTTCAGGATATCATCCAGGAGAACTTCCACAATGTAGCAAGGCAGGCCAACATTCAAATTCAGGGAATACAGAGAACACCACAAAGATACTCCTTGAGAAGAGCAACCCCAAGACACATAATAGTCAGATTCACCAAGGTTGAAATGAAGGAAAAAATGCTAAGGACAGCCAGAGAGAAACATCGGGTTACCCAAAAAGGGAAGTCCATCAGACTAACAGTGGATCTCTTGGCAGAAACTTTACAAGCTAGAAGAGAGTGGGAGCCAATATTCAACATTCTTAAAGAAAAGAATTTTCAACCCAGAATTTCATATCCAGCCAAACTAAGCTTCATTCGTGAAAGAGAAATAAAATCCTTTACAGACGAGCAAATGCTGAGAGATTTTGTCACCACCAGACCTGCCTTACAAGAGCTCCTGAAGGGAGCACTAAACACAGAAATGAACAACCGGTACCAGCCACTGCAAAAACATGCCAGATTGTAAAGACCATCAAGCTAGGAAGAAACTGCTTTAAATAATGAGCAAAATAACCAGCTAACATCGTAATGACAGGATCAAATTCAAACATAACAATATTTACCTTAAATGTAAATGGGCTACATGCACCAATTAAAAGACACAGACTGGCAAATTGGATAAAGACTCAAGACCCATCAGTGTGCTGTATTCAGGAGACCCATCTCATGTGCAGAGACACACATAAGCTCAAAATAAAGGAATAGAGGAAGATCTACCAAGCATATGGAAAACAAAAAAAAAAGCAGAGGTTGCTCTCCTACTCTCTAATAAAACAGACATTAAACCAACAAAGATCAAAAGAGACAAAGAAGGCCATTATATAATGGTAAAGGGATCAATTCAACAAGAAGAGCTAACTATCCTAAATATATATGCGCCCAATACAGGAGCACCCAGATTCATATGGCAAGTCCTTAGAGACCTACAAAGAGACTTAGACTCCCAGGCAATACTAATGGGAGACTTTAACACCCCACTGTCAAAATTGTACAGATCAATGAGACAGAAGGTTTACAAGGATATCCAGGACTTGAACTCAGCTCTGCACCAAGTGGAGCTAATCTACAGAACTCTCTACCCCAGATCAACAGAAGATACATTCTTCTCAGCATCACATCACACTTATTCCAAAATTGACCATATAGTTGGAAGTAAAGCACTCCTCAGCAAATGTAACAGCACAGAAATCACAACAAACTATCTTTCAGACCATAGTGCAATCAAATTAGAACTCAGGATTAAGAAACTCACTCAAAACCACACCGCTACATGGAAACTGAACAACCTGCTCCTGAATGACTACTGGGTAAACAACCAAATGAAGGCAGAAATAAAGATGTTCTTTGAAACCAATGACAACAAAGATACAACATACCAGAATCTCTGGGACACATTTAAAGCAGTGTGTAGAGGGAAATTTATAGCACTAAATGCCCACAAGAGAAAGCAGGAAAGATCCAAAATTGACACCCTAACATCACAATTAAAAGAACTAGAGAAGCAAGAGCAAACACATTCAAAAGCTAGCAGAAGGCAAAAAATAATTAAGATCAGAGCAGATCTGAGGAGACAGAGACACAAAAAAAACCTTCAAAAAATCAATGATTCCAGGAGCTGATTTTTTGAAAAGAACAGCAAAACAGACCACTAGCAAGACTAATAAAGGAAAAAAGAGAGAAGATGCAATAAAAAATAAAGGGGATATCACCACTGATCCCACAGAAATACAGACTACCATCAGAAAATACTATAAATACTTCTCACAAATAAACTAAAAAATCTAGAATAAATGAGTAAATTCCTGTACAAATACACCCTCCCAAGACTAAACGAGGAAGAAGTTGAATCCCTGAATAGACCAATAACAGGCTCTGAAATTGAGGCAATAATTAATAGCCTATCAACCAAAAACGTCCAGGACCAGACAGATTCACAGTTGAATTCTACCAGAGGTACAAGGAGGAGCTGATTACATTCCTTCTGAAACTATTCCAATCAATAGAAAAAGAGGGAATCCTCCCTAACTCATTTTATGAGGCCAGCATCATCCTGATACCAAAGCCTGGCAGAGACACAACAAAAAAAGAGAATTTTAGACCAATATCCCTGATGAACATCGATGCAAAAATCCTCAATAAAATACTGGCAAATCATATCCAACAGCACATTAAAAACCTTATCCACCATGATCAAGTTGGCCTCATCCCTGGGATGCAAGGCTGGTTCAATGTACACAAATCAATAAATGCAATCAGCATATAAACAGAATGAAAGACAAAAACCACATGATTATCTCAAAAGATGCAGAAAACACCTTCGACAAAATTCAACAGCGCTTCATGTTAAAAACTCTCAATGAACTACGTATTGAGCAGACATATCTCAAAATAATAAGAACTATTTATGACAGACCCACAGCCAATATCATACTGAATGGGCAAAAACTGGAAGCATTCCCTTTGAAAACTGGTACAAGACAGGGATGCCCTCTCTTACCACTCCTATTCAACATAGTGTTGGAAGTTCTGGCCAGGGCAATCAGGCAAGAGAAAGAAATCAAGGGTATTCAATTAGGAAAAGAGGAAATCATATTGTCCCTGTTTGTAGACGATATGATTGTATATTTAGAAAACCCCATCGTCTCAGCGCAAAATCTCCTTAAGTTGATGTAAGCAACCTCAGCAACGTCTCATGATACAAAATCAATGTGCAAAAATCACAAGCATTCCTACACACCAATAACAGACACACAGAGAACCAAATCATGAGTGAATTCCCATTCAAAATTGCTTCAAAGAGAAGAAAATACCTAGGAATCCAACTTACAAGGGATGTGAAGGACCTCTTCAAGAAGAACTACAAACCATTGCTCAACAAAATAAAAGAGGATACAAACAAATGGAAGAACATTTCATGCTCATGGAGAGGAAGAATCAGTATCATGAAAATGGCCATACTGCCCAAGGTAATTTGTAGATTCAGTGCCATCCCCATCAAGCTACCAATGAGTTTCTTCACAGAATTGGAAAAAAATTACTTTAAATTTCAGATGTAACCAAAAAAGGGCCTGCATTGCCAAGACAATCCTAAGCCAAAAGAACAAAGCTGGAGGCATCACGCTACCTGACTTCAAACTATACCGAGGCTACAGTAACCAAAACAGCATGATACTAGTATCAAAACAGACATATAGACCAATGGAATGGAACAGAGCCCTCAGAAATAACACCACACATCTACAACCATCTGATCTTTGACAAACCTGACAAAAACAAAAAATGGAGAAATGATTCCCTATTTAATAAATGATACTGTGAAAACTGGCTAGCCATATGTAGAAAGCTGGAACTGGATCCCTTCCTTACACCTTATACAAAAATCAATTCAAGATTGATTAAAGACTTAAACATTAGACCTAAAACCATAAAAACCCTAGAAGAAAACCTAGGCAATACCATTCAGGACATAGGCATGGGCAAGGACTTCATGACTAACACACTAAAAGCAATGGCATCAAAAGCCAAAATTGACAAATGGTATCTAATTAAAGAGCTTCTGCACAGCAAAAGAAACTACGATCAAAGTGAACAGGCAACCTCCAAAATGGGAGAAAATTTTTGCAATATACTCATCTGACAAAGGGCCAATATCCAGAATCTATAAAGAAGTCAACTTTACAAGAAAAAGCAAACAACCCCATCAAAAAGTGGGCGAAGGATATGAACAGACACTTCTCAAAAGAAGACATTTATGCAGCCAACAGACACATGAAAAAATGCTCATCATCACTGGTCATCAGAGAAATGCAAATCAAAACCACAATGAGATACCATCTCACACCAGTTAGAATGGTGATCATTAAAAAGTCAGGAAACAACAGGTGCTGGAGAGGATGTGGAGAAATAGGAACACTTTTACACTGTTGGTGGGACTGTAACCTAGTTGAGCCATTGTGGAAGACAGTGTGGCAATTCCTCAAGAATCTAGAAGTAGAAATACCATTTGATCCAGCAGTCCCATTACTGGTTATATACCTAGAGGATTATAAATCATGCTGCTATAAAGACAGATGCACAC